GATTACTTCTTCTCAATGTCCAGGGCTGACCTGGCAACACCACTATGAGTGATATGTGTGTCAGGAAAGGGACACACTGAGGCATTTGGGGTTAGCAGCTGCTCTGTGGCTACAGCCTTAGCTTAAGTGTGAAATTCGAGAGAGAAGGCTTTTCTGAAAGGCCATTTCCACAGGCATCAGAGGGATACAGCAGATTTTGTGTCTCAACATTCTGGGTCTCCCTTTCTCTCTGCTCCCCTCATACCCTTTCTCACCCAGCACTGTCCTTTTGCTTGGTCTCTCTAGAGCACGATCTCTTTCTTCATAAACTCTTTTTTTCAGTCAGTCTCAAAATAGGCTGGATGCTGTGGCTTATGCCTGTAATCCCAGCACTTTGGGAGGCTGAGTTGGGCAGATCACTTTTGACCACAGTTTGAGACCAGCCTAGCCAATGTGGCAAAACCCCATCTCTACTAAAAATACAAAAAAAAAAAAAGAAAAAAGTTGTGCATGGTGGCAGGCGCCTGTAGACCCAGCTGCTCAAGAGACTGATCTGCAGTGAGCCAAGATCACACCACTGCACTTCAGCCTGGGCAACAGAGTGAAACGCTGTCTTGAGAGGAAAAAAAAAAAAAAAAAAAAAAAAACAGTCTCAGAATAGAATATCCATTCGACTGAAAGGTACTCAGCATTTCAAGAGCAGAGAAATCTGCTCTTTACCTTTTCTCCATCCCAAATAACTCCTTTCTTGAAAACAGCTTTACTGAAATATAATTTGCATGCCATAAAATCCACTCATTCTAAGTGTTCAGTTCAAGTAAGTGTATAGAGTTGTGCAGCCATCCCACAATGCAATTGTAGAACATTTTCATCACCCCAAACATAGCCTCTGTGCCTATTTGTGTTCACTCCCCTTTCCCACCCAGGGAACCACTATTCTACTTCCTGTTTCTATAGATTTGCCTTTTCTGGACATTTCCTATGAATGGAATCTTACCGTATGTAGTTTTTTTATCTGGGTGCTTTCATTTAGCATAGTGCTACTATAGCACTTATCATTCCTTTTTGTTGCTGAATAGCGTTCTAGGATATGAAGGTAACCACTTGTTTATCCACTCACCAGCTGATAAACATTTCGATTGTTTCCAGCATTTGGGGGGGATGAGGTTGTTTCCAGTTTCCATCTGAAATCACTCTCAACTGTTTTTCATTGTTCTGCTCTAACCACCCCATCTGTATCATTTCTCCCCAGAATCCCTTCTATCCAACAGGAGAGTTTCAGATGTTAGGCACCTCCCCAAAATAAATAAAAATCAGAAAACCTGACAAATGTTCACAACACCTACAACTGAATTCTATATTTTAAGTGAATATGCTATAAACAAAAATTAAATAACTTCCACTTACAATGCAAATGAAAACGTCTTTTATGTTTGCTAATTAAATTTATCCTTTCTGTGGAAATAATTTTAAAATGAAGAAAATGTAGATACAAGCCACATATAACAACCAACAAATACTCAGATGTACAAGTGCTAATATTCAAAGTAAATGTGAAACTTGGGTCGTATGGTCTAAATCTTTATGTGCCCTCCAAAATCACATGTTGAAATTTTTAGGCCAAAAGTGATGATATCCGGAGGCGGGCCCCTTAGCAGGTGATTAGGTCATAAGGACAGAACACTCATTAATGGGATTAGTGTGCCCTTATAAAAGAAACCCAAGAGAACACCACCCCTCCATCCCTTCTACCCTGTAAGGACACCAGGAAAACATGGCCATCTATGAACCAGGAAATAGGTCCTCACCGACACCAAATCTGCCAGTGCATTGATCTTGGACTTTCCAGGCTCCAAAACTGTGAGAAATAAGTTTCTGTTGTTTAAGCCACCCAGTTGATAGGATTTTGTTATGGCACTATGAATGTACTAAGACAAATGGAGTAATGAGGATTGCCAAGAGGATTCCTTCTTGCTACAAGCACATAATCTTACTTTGATTATTGTGGTTAATGATAATCCAGGAAGAAAACTTATTTGTAATTCTCAAATCATTCAGAAAATTATAATACATAGGTACATATGTGTATGTATGTATATTTATATGTGTATATACAAAGACAGAGAGAAAAAAGCAAATGTGGCAGAATATTCATAACTGGTGAACCTGGGCTGGGTGCAGTGGCACATGCTTGTAATCCCAGCACTTTGGGAGTCTGAGGTAGGCGGATCACCCAAGGTCAGGAGTTCAAGACCAGCCTGGCCAACATGGTGAAATGTTTCTACTAAAAATACAAAAAAAAAAAAAATTAGCCAGGCGCAGTGGTGCACACTTCTAGTCCCAGCTACGAGGGAGACAGGCGGGAGGATTGCTTGAACCCAGGAGGTGAAGGCAGCAGCGAGCCAAGATTGTGCTACTGCACTCCAGCCTCCGTGACAAAGTGAGACTGTTTCAATAAATAATAAAGAATTGATGAGCCCAGATGAAGTATACAGGGCAATCCTTTGTGCTATTCTTTCATTTTTTTTTCTGTACATTTGCAATTATTTTTATTTTTTTGAGACAGACTCTCTGTTGCCCAGGCTGGAATGTGGTGGGACCATCTTGGCTCACTGCAACCTCTGCCTCCCAGGTTCAAGTGATTCTTCCACCTCAGCCTACCGAATAGCTGAGACTACAGGCACATGCCACCGCACCTGACTAATTTTTGTATTTTTTAGTAGAGATGGAATTTCACTATGTTGGCCAGGCTAGTCCCCTGAACTCAGATGATCCACCCGCCTTGGCCTCCCAAAGAGCTGGGATTACAGGTGTGAACCACTGCGCCCAGCAGCGATTATTTTTAAATAAAAAGTTAAAATTCCCCCAAAAGACTGGAGAAAGTTCAGTCTCCTTCTCCAAACACTTTGTCTATAGCTGGAGCACCACAAAGTGCTTCCCCGAGTCAGTGCCAATAGATTTGGGAAGTACCACAGGACAGCCTTTAGTTTCCCTCAACTGTCTATTAAGAATCAAATTTCCACAGTATTAAAAGGTGGCTTGAACTCATTTAGCTTTTAGTTTTATACAGCTTCAGGAGCCTTGAATATCATAAGCTTGAATATATAAGCCACAGTGTGAAGGAGCATATTTGTTTCTTGGTTCTGAAGGAATCTATTCCACATATATAGCCTATAATCTGCAAAATGTTACTCTGCTCCCTCCCCTGTTTCCTTCCCCATAAGATGGAGTGGACCTCGTCACACCCAAAAGTGATGCTGTTGAGACTTAAGGATATTTTATCCTTAAGTCGTTACTGGGAGTTACTGTGCCTTGCTGGCATAAGGTGTTGCCCCAATTTACTGTTCCATAGGAACGACTGCTTTCCAGAGGTAAAAGGAAGGAAAGCAAAAGGAAACAGAAACAGAAACAAAGAAACCCAACACCACCGACTGCCGTCCCAGTAGTTACATTGATCAGTACTTACTGAGTTCTAGAACACTGAGACAATTTTAACATGTCAGACTCTTCCTTACTTGCAAAAAACTGGTGAAGGCATAGTACCAGGACCTAGAGATCCAAATGCAGCAGGACACTCTCCTCTATATCATGTTTTAGCCTTTCTGTCTAGCCACACTCAATGTAGCATGGATGTTCAAATCAACCCCACAAACCCCATTCTCTGAACATTTCGAGTTCCTCTAATCCCCCCGGAGTATCCATTGTCTATTTATAAATTTCAGGACTAGTTCCACCAATTTATCTTACCTTAGAACTTTTTATTTCTAGAGACAGTATCACTCTGTCACTCAGGTTGGAGTGCAGCAGCACAGTGATCGCTCACTGCAACCTCGAACTCCTGGGCTTAAGCAACCCTCCCACCTCAGCTTCCTGAGTAGCTAGGACTACAAGTGTATGCCATCATGCCTGGCTTTGTTTGGTTTGGTTTGGCTGGGTAGAGGTGGGGGCAGGGGGTCTCACTTTGTTGCCCAGGCTGGTCTTGAACCTCTGGCCTTAAGCAATCCTCCCACCTCCACCTCCCCAAATTCTAGGATTATAGGCAGGAGCCAGCATGACCAGCCCAAATTTTTTTCCCAACTTTAAAATAAAATTTACATATATATATATATATATATATATATATATATATATATATATATCTTAAATGCCTTCCACATAGAAATTGTTGATTTTTCTTTCAGTTCTCTCGTCTTGGTAAATCCTCTAGGAATGCTCTCTGAAAAGCAGCTTAATTCATCATGCAGTCGCCTTCATCACCATCACTTGTTGAAGTCTTTTTAGGATGTAAAGCAGTTCTAATTTGGAGATCTAAAATTACCTCTAAAAACTCACAATAGACTAAACTTAGAGTCATCCATAATTAGATTTTTTTAAAAATAGGACTTCTTTCCAACTTTTTTTCATTATCCAGCTGTGTTTGATCTCAGCCAGCTGTTGATGGGACTGAGGTGGTTGCAAGAGTTGGGGAAAAGCAGCAGCAACTCATCTGTGCAGAGTGGGTGGGGAAAGCATTAATTCTCAGTTTAAAACAGTGGTTCTCAAAGTGTGGTCTTTCAACCTGCAGCATCAAAGCTTGTGGGAACTTGTTAGAAATAATTTCTTGGACCCTACTCCAGACTCACTGAATCAGGCCATCAGGTGAAGTTCAAAGAACTTGGTTCAAATGAAGTGTTCACTAAATTAAAGACGGCAATCAAGATTTGAGAAACAGATGGTTGAAAATAATTGCCTTGACTGGCTCTAGGGACCCCCAGGAACATAACGCTACTTACATGTATGTTTTCTTCATTCATCATTTATGGGTATATTTGTATTACTCCACAGGGCTGACGATTTGGTATTAGACTTGCTAATGAGCAGCAGCCATGTGCTCCTGCTGCCTGTCAGTACTGTCACAAGTATATTGTACGCAGCAGAGAAGAGCCAACAGCCAGCCTCCTTCCACATTCTGCTCTCAGGAAGTAAGCAAGGGGAGGATCCAGAGGTGTCATTTGACACTGACGACAGAGTACTTATTTCCTATGCAAAAGAGCCCAGGAAGAAAGACAAACCTAAATAAGAAGCTAACTTCTGTAAGGAGAAACTGAATGGAAAGGGTGATGCTGGCTGCTGCCTTTGCAGACTCTAACTCCAGCAGCATGAACACGTCCTTTGCTCACCTCCACTTTGCCGGAGGGTACCTGCCCTCTGATTCCCAGGACTGGAGAACTATCATCCCAGCTGTCTTGGTGGCTGTCTGCCTGGTGGGCTTCGTGGGAAACCTGTGTGTGATTGGCATCCTCCTTCACAATGCTTGGAAGGGAAAGCCATCCATGATCCACTCCTTGATTCTGAATCTCAGTCTGGCTGATCTCTCCCTCCTGCTGTTTTCTGCACCTGTCCGAGCTACAGCATACTCCAAAAGTGTTTGGGATCTAGGCTGGTTTGTCTGCAAGTCCTCTGACTGGTTCATCCACACATGCATGGCAGCCAAGAGCCTGACAATCGTTGTGGTGGCCAAAGTATGCTTCATGTACGCAAGTGACCCAGCCAAGCAAGTGAGTATCCACAACTGCACCATCTGGTCAGTGCTGGTGGCCATCTGGACTGTGGCTAGCCTGTTAACCCTGCCGGAATGGTTCTTTAGCAACATCAGGCATCATGCAGGTGTGGAGATGTGCCTCATGGATGTACCAGCTGCGGCCAAAGAGTTTATGTCGATGTTTGGTAAGCTCTACCCACTCCTGGCATTTGGCCTTCCATTACTTTTTGCCAGCTTTTATTTCTGGAGAGCTTATGGCCAATGTAAAAAACGAGGAACTAAGACTCAAAATCTTAGAAACCAAATACGCTCAAAGCAGGTCACCGTGATGCTGCTGAGCATTGCCATCACGTCTGCTCTCCTGTGGCTCCCTGAGTGGGTAGCTTGGCTATGGGTATGGCATCTGAAGGCTGCAGGTCCGGCCCCACCACAAGGTTTCATAGCCCTGTCTCAAGTCCTGATGTTTTCCATCTCATCAGCAAATCCTCTCATTTTTCTTGTGATGTCGGAGGAGTTCAGAGAGGGCTTGAAAGGCTTATGGAAATGGATGATAACCGAAAAAACTCCAACTGTCTCAGAGTCTCAGGAAACACCAGCTGGCAACTCAGAGGGCCTTCCTGACAAGGTTCCATCTCCAGAGTCCCCAGCATCCACACCAGAAAAAGAGAAACCCAGCTCTCCCTCCTCTGGCAAAGGGAAAACGGAGAAGGCAGAGATTCCCATCCTTCCTGATGTAGAGCAGTTTTGGCATGAGAGGGACACAGTCCCTTCTGTACAGGACAATGACCCTGTCCCCTGGGAACATGAAGATCAAGAGACAGGGGAATGTGTTAAATAGATTTAAGTTTCAAAGCAAAACAAATTGTGATTATTGTATTTAATTCTACTGCTCCTTATCAGTATTGCTGCCTTTACAAACTGTGATAAAATTATTACCATTAGGAATTACAAAAATGCTTCACAATCTACACTTTCCAAATGGGCAATGTGGTAAGTAGAGAACCATGTTAGAAGTAAAAATTGTTTCAGAGTTAGAACCCGGGTTCCCACAGAATTTAAATAGTACTGTGTAAAGATGCTGCTGTCAAAGTGATTAGATAGTGCAGCTATTCCGTCACTTGTTCACAATGATTTTACCAGGTACCCCTTAGGACCAGCCCTGTAGTGGACTGGCTGGAGCCTGGAGTAGATGTTCTGTCTGTCAAAGGCTGACCTTCAGTTTCATCTTGAACCTACTGGTCCTAATTTCACCTGCCAAACTGTGTTTCACATAACCAAGGCTCAAAATCTACTTTCACTTGAGATTTTTAACACATTAATGATAAATTTTAATGAGTCCTCTTCATTTGTTTAATAAATGTTAATTTACTTGATGAAAGTCCCTATCATAATGTTTGTGACGGGTCAAAGAAAACGAAAACAGAATCTTATTCCAATTCTGGACTAATTTCAAGCCATGGCTGGTTTTGGCTAAGTTTAAATAAATTCAAACTTATACAAGTCTGCTTCAATGAATCTTTTAAAGCTACCTGAATGAGTCTTCAAAGTCTGAGAATTTTAGCAGCTTTCCAATGACATTCAGTAGTCTGATGTGGAAAAAAAAAAAAAAGTACTTAAAAAAATGTTCTCTCTTCACTTCCAAAATGTGAGAAAGTTATTCTTCCATAAGCAGAAATTTGTGCCTCTTAATATCTCCTTTCTCACAAGATAAACCATGGTTAATGATACAGGTATTAGTTACTCCTCAAATATAAATAGAAGATGGAGATGGTGATCTTTCTTGTTAACAGTACTAAACTTACCCATAACACTGAACTTGAACCTTACTCAACTTTTAAAATATCACAGGATTTCTAAGTTATAAAAATAATTGGGCAACCTGGGAAAAGAGATTAGTATCAAAAAGAAAACTCAACAAACACAGACAGAATTTGGTTAAGAATGCAAAATAAAAAGCATAAGGGCAATGCAGAAAGAAAAGCAGTAAAGTTTTATACCCAGACATATGGTAAAATTTGAGTAACAGGCAATAACCATTCACTTTATAGCAAGGTAAAACATATCCAATAAAACGTGATTATGATACATTTCTTCCCCTTTTAAGTATAATGACATTCATCCATGATTCTTGATTACTTTGTTATGGAACTCTGGGGGATTTTCACTGAAAGGTTCCCTAAGAATAGAAATGCCTTTAGGGCAAACCAAGCAATGGAGAATCTGAAATATAAAGAATATATTACGGAAAAAAAAGATTTTGTTTTTTATGTTGTCCATGGGTTTCCAGATTCTCTGTTTTTTCTTAAGTAGTCATAGTTTGCTTTTTGACACAGGAGGCAGGGATATATTCTTTTTACTTCCTTTATTATAAATTTTATTTGAAGCTCATGGATTTAAGTAAAGGAAAATTTAACCCAAGAATCCAAAATATTGTTTTGTGATATGGCAGTTTTAAAAAGAATTATCCTTGTCTTTATTTGAATTAAAAATTTTTATGTTCATTATATGTCATAAATGTAGGATGTAAGCTTCCAGGGTTTGACACTTTAACTTGCAAAGAAATAAAAATAATTATGTTTTACTTCAGACAGTTTTTGAAGATTTAAAGCTGTCTTTGTCTTGAATTATTTCAGAATCATACTAGGAACAATGGAGCTTTATGGGACTGTTTGACGTTAACACAGGGCAAACTGATTTTCAGAGTTTGCTAGCAGGCACCAAATCAAGGTGCAGACACTGGAACAAAGTGCAATTACGATAAACCTCATTAAGAAACTGATACACAAAGTCCTGACTTGATCCCTTAAAAAGTCTGCTAAGAGAAGTTTGATTTGCACTTTATCTGATCAAACCCAGATGCTTTAAGACAAAGGCAGAGAACTGGAACAGACACCACCAGTTTTCTTCTCATTTCTCTACTTTGAAAAACAACGTAGTAAGTGGGCAAACAATACTACGGGGAATTCAGAATAACAAAATTAAAGCATTCTAAAAACTTTACCTTCCCAGACAGTCATGTTTCTACATACTACATAATAGCTGTGCTCCTTTTGGCAAGCACTTCAATTTCATTCCTCACAGTCCTTAAAATATCACTCAATGAACTTATTAAAATGAACTTCAAAGAGAAAAAAAGGACACAAAAGGCGGCCAGGTGTGGTGGTTGACACCTGTAATCCTAGCAGTTCAGGTGGCTGAGGTGGGAGAATGGCTTGAGGCCAGGAGTTTGAGGCCAGCCTGGGCAAAAGAATAAAGCAATTTCTAAAAAGAAAACAAATTACTAAAAAAAGAAAGGTGGAGGGGGAGACATGGTAATGCATGCCTGCAGTCTCAGCTACTCAGAAGGATCACTGAACCCAGAGTTACAGTGGGCAATGATGGTGCCACTGCACTCCAGCCTAGGAGACAGAGTGGGAGCCTTTGTACAAATAAAATGAAAAAACATATCCTGTATATCAACTTTATAGCTGGAGACCTTAGTCTGATCAATGTCAGGTTCTTAGATACATAATTTCTGTGACACTTAATAGATTTAAGCTAAGAACTATATAACATGGATGTGAATGTGTGTCTGTGACTGTATACAAACAACATATAAATAAAGAACTGTTGGTATTCCTTCTTTCTAGGATTTGTTACAATCATAGTTAAGTATGACATAATGAAAAATAAAGTATTCTATTAACATATATATTTTCTTAAACATTTTATTTATGTGGCACTCTGAAGCGGGCAACCTATGAAGGGATAAAATAAAAAGATTTTTTTTAACTTGGGAGGTAAAGTTGATATATAAATTGGGAACTGATTCATGGTGTGATGTACACGACATGTTGAAAGAATGCCAAAAAGGCGCGAACCATCATACATTAATACAAAAGACAAAAAAATTAAAAACCCAGCATCTTCTTGCTATAAGGCAATAAGGCACTGCTAAGAGACTGAGCACCAAAATGATTCTCTACAAACTCCTTCCTTTTTATACTGCAAATAGTGATTACATTCAAACCTTTAAAAACTCTTTAAAGTCAATTTACTTTGTGCAAAATTCTATTTGCTGCTTCTTTTAAAAACAGGTTAAAATAAGCTCTTAAAAATTAAGTAACAATAATCATATACAGTACAGATATATAAAAAGGGTTTGTTTATTGTAGTTCAAATACATAAACTGAACATTCAAACATCTTAAAATTAAAACTTTAGCAACAAAAGTTTAACATTCGAACAGGAGTATAGTTTACAGGAGACATCCAGAAAGGTAATTTGTTGTCTAATCCAGAATATTGATAAAGATCACTTACTGGTGAATAAAATATGTTTAACCAGTGGTTCTATTCTGGCCAACATGTTAGTTATGACCATGGTTCCATACCTGAGAAGAAATTACTACATTAATCTTCTCTTAGGCTAAACAACAAGACTTGGTCTATAATTCAGAGGGGATAATCAAAGCACGTAAGTGAACAAATAAAACTAATCTGTTCTTTAGAGACAAAGGTAAAAGTATTGTCCATTATAATAATCGTAGCCTCTGGAAGAATTCGATTTTCAGTGTTTTCTCTTTTACCCGCTTTAAAAAAAAATCAAAACAAAACAAACCCCAACTCAGGTTTTCTTGGAGTCTGTGGTATTTGCATCTGGCAAGTTCAAGCCACAAATGCTCTCACTTCTTGCATGTATTAACACTGCTAGAAAGAACGCCACCAAGTCACTGACTTCCACACCTCATAAAAGGATGAATTTTAGCTTCGAGATTTTAAGATTTACTAGAGACAGCCTATATTTGAGTATGTATGTCAGTCATGCCACACAAAGAAAAGCATAAATATTTCCAAAGTGTTCTGTTCAGAAACTGTTCACAAATGCTTCTCCTTCTGTTTGTCAGATGGTTTTGCAATAGGTTGACTAATGCACATATATGTAAAAACCTGAAAACTGGCTCATGCAAGCGTTTTGAATGGATACCCCTGTGGAAGAGTACTTAGAATTATTTTGTTGATCGCCGCGTGGGCTCTGACGCTGTAGGAGGTGGGGGGGGACCCCGGCGATCCAGGTCATCAACATATGCCACGATCAGTTTCCGCCTCTCCTCTGGCACACAGTCCAGTACTAGATACCGTTTGTCATTCTGTAAAATTTTTTCTACATCTTTCAGGTGCTGATCAGATTCTTGGATTAGTTTTTTGGATCTGAAATAAGAAAAAGAAGTCCAAGAATTACTGACTGCTGTTCACAGGTCTTTCAGAAGTGAGCTGGAAATGTCCATCTAGTTCCTAATTGTGTTTCCATTATTTTTTTTTTTTAAGAAAAATTTCACTGCAGTGGTCACCTCTGTAAGTCGCCTCAGCAAAGACTCCAAGGAGCGAAAGGGCCTCAGAAGCTGAATTACCCTCCCACCCCTAGTGGTGGTCCCTCCAGATCAGGGCTGAGGGTGGGTGGGTAAATCTTGCCCGTGCTGTACCTGTTCTGTGGATGAACAGAGGACTTCAGTCTGCGGGGCTGCCAATCCCAGCATCTTTCACAAGCTTTCACTTTCACATCTTTCACTAAATTAACTATAAAAATGTAGAAAGAAGTCTTACTTCACATCTAATTTAAAAGCCCAAGCTGATGCAAAACATTAAGGATCCTGACCAAAAAATCCAAATGACAAAATATCTAAAAACCACACCCTCAGCACTATCTAGCCTCCCGTGCACATACCCTTCATTAAGATGTTTCAAATTTCTCTCTTAAAGAAGAAAAGCTGGAGCATGAAACAAAAATGGTTTCCAGATTACTGATTGGTAAGCAATACAAAATTGTCTTCCTGATGATAAATTGTTAGTGAAGAACTATTGGATTTGCTACAGAGAAATCTTGTTTAAAGGCTCTCATTTCATAATTTACAATTTTTATTTAAATGTACCCAGCAAAATGCTTTCCTCTGAGGGAAAAAAAATGTTTCTGCTGAGCTTAAATAGATGATTTCATGCTTTAGAATAATCTAACCACACTGAACAGTCTTCAGAGGAGGCAAAGATAATTGATAGTGAAAGATTATTTTAAAAGTTTCTCCATGAAATACAACTCTTATATAGTTGAGGGTATTCCTAAAAAAAGCAGTGAAGTAAAAAAAAAAAAAAAAAAAAGATATGTATTAAAAACTGGATGGGTGGGTAACACAAAGTAAGACTTGACATCTGGGCCCTTTCTTTTAAAAAAAAAAAAGTATGGTAGATATGGGTTGTATTTGACTTTGGGTAGAAGTTGGCATCTTATCATCCCTAAAAATTAATAATGTCAACATGTGTGTGAATGCAAAGTATGCTCTGACCATTAGAGTAAAGACTAGTAAAGATAATGACTGCCAATATGAAACATTTCATTGCACACACCTATATGTTATAAATTTGGTCTCTTTCAAAAGCGTCCTGAAGTCAGCTTTGGCTGTGATATACTTGTCTCTGATATATTCTTCAAATTCTCTTTGTTTTTTCTGTTAAAAAAAAAAACAACAACAACAACAAACGTTATAGAAATAAAACCCAATTCCAAAATAAACATTATTTATTAAACAGTAATGTGCAAGTCACATGACAAAATTAAAAATTCAAAAGAAAAAGGCAAAGGGTACATTTTCTTCATATATAAAATTCATTAAATCACATCTGCAATGCTCATTTTTACAGCAAATAGAAAGAATGAGGAATCATAAATTAGTGGTGGCTAAAACTTGAGAATCTGCTGCACTACACTACTGAGCATTTTATGGGGATCATCTATTTTAATTTTCATAACAACCTCATGAGGTGAACACTTAAAAACAAGGATATTAATGATTAAGTGTCTACTTCCTACACACTGTATTTTTAACTTCAAGAACAAAAACAGTAATCTGTGGATATACAAACTGTTAAGATAACATTCAGAACTGAACTTAGATAGTACTGAGCATTTAGCTTTCTGGCAAGCCAAAAGTAATGAGATGAATAAACTCTTTGGATTTAAAAAGACTTTATTATCAATTCTAAACAGTCAGAAAAGTTAGACACTGAGACTGGGTCTACCACAATTTCCCAGTCATGTATATCTTCAAACATCTACAATTCAATAGACTTAAAGGGGGAATATTAGTTTTTATAATAGATGCCCAGACCCAGAGAAACCAACCAGCAAAGGGGAATGACAGAAAACAAATAAAAGGCCTAGAGATAAAATGGACTGTAGTAAACAACAGTTTTCTTGACGTCATTCACTGTTTCAGACCTTGAAGCATATGAGAACTAGTGATCTTGTTACAGTATTGTGTCAGGCTTAAGAATCAAGTGCTCAGGATTTTTTTTCTTTTAACTTAAAAAAAAAATTAAGAATTAAAAAAAATTAAACCTAAGTTGCCAGGATTTTTTTTTTTTTTTAATTTTAAAAAAATTTAAAAAAAGAATCAAGCGCTTTGACAGTTTGGTACCAACTGCCAGCTTGAATATGTCTGTCTAGTTGTACCTGACTAAAATAAAACTGCAACTTCGTTAAATCTCTAAGATCCCAAAGTACAAGCTCACCCCAAGTACTAAAATTTAAACTTTCTATTGCGCTCTCTTGCTAATTTATCATGCAAGAAACAACATGAATTTAAAATTGAGATTCACTTCCCAGACACTTAAAAGTAACTCACTTAAAACAATCGACTTTATTTTGCTTAAGATACTAGTGCTGTCAGGCACCCGCTTAAGTATTTATAAATTGACAGTAAATCTCGACACAAAATCTTCTTACCCTGTCACTGGAGGAGAACTTAATACACCGAGGATCTTCCTTAATGATTTTTTTAACTTCTTTCCACGTAGATGTTAAGGTAATCTTTGAAAAGACATGTGAATAAAAAACATAAATACAACTCACTTTTACTTAGGGGGTCAAACTGCAGCACATATGGTACATAATATTACACACTGACCTGCGATCTCTTGTAATGCCCAAGCGTAACTGGACTAGTTAGGGACAGGGAAGCAGCGTTAATGCAATTTCTTTTTGTTGGCTTGCCACAAGAGTTATTTTCATGGCCATACTTTCAAGGTGGCCTAAGACAATCACCTGCAAACCCTGTATTTACATGGGCAAACATCGTAACTTCTGAAGAAACCATCACCAAAAAGAGAGCAGATAAAAAGGAACAAAACCGGGATAACAAAGCGTACAAACTGCCAAACAAGAGGCACAGAACCAAACTGAAAATGGATCAGAAGAAGAAATGCGCTACATCTATTATCAGGAGGGATCATCGATCATTTTGAATTACGATAGGAGCAGTTATGAACGTGAAAACTGCAAAGAATAGGAATTTCTAAATAGTTAAGAATACCATATTTTTTTTTAAATCAGAGAACTGTCATAAAATGAATTCCAGTAATGAATCTAAAGACCATGACACTAAAAATCATATCGATGCTTTGTTTTAAGAAATTACTAACAAAGATTCATTCAAATTAAAATGAGAAAAATAAAGAGACTTACCGCAGAAGTTTCATCCAAAAGTTGCCTAAAGTGCTCCCTCTTTTTTTTGGTAAGTGCTTCAATGTGTTCATTAAAAAGTTTCTCTTTCTCCTCTCTTTCCAATAAAGATCCAGATTCCCAGCGGTGATCTTTTCGGAGAGTCCTACGAGTATCAGACCATGACACATCTGAAGAACGTACCTGAAGAGAGAAAATTATATATGTACCAACAAAGAGATTTATCTTAATGTCTGTGTGCACTTTCATGTTCACTGCAACATTATTCACAATAGCCAAGATATGGAATCAACCTAAGTGTCTAACAACAGATAAATGGATAAAGAAAATGTAACAAATATACATAATGGAGTACTACTCAGCCTTAAAAAAAAAAAAAGAAGAAAATTCTATTCATTGGTGGCATGATAAACCAAGAGGACATTATAAGTGAAATAAGCCAAACACAGAAACACAAATAATGCACAGTCTCACATTTGTGGAGTCTGAAAAAAGCTAAACTCATAGAAATATAGTAGATGGTCACCAGAGTCTAGGGGGTGGGAGGCAGGACAAGGGAGAAAATGAGGAGTTACTGGTCAAAGATAATGAAGTTTCACACAGACAGCAGGAGTAAGTTTTGAAATCTACCGCACAGCAGGGTAACTAAAGTCAATAATGTATTCTAGATTCAAAATAACTGGGAGTAAATTCCAAAAGTCTCACCACAAAAAATTACAAGTTAACAAAGTGATGAATATGTTAAAGAGCTTTGGTTTAATCATTCCATATTACCTACCTACATCAAAACAGCAACTATACACCGTAAGTGTATACAATTATGACTTCTCAATTAAAACAATTTTTAAAAAGAAGACAATATAACAGAAGGCATAGCAGGTCTGGCTGGCTCACCAACCAGCAAAAAGACATCCTTCATTACTGGTAATGGTATTAAAAGTTACTGACAACGTAAAGAAACACAGGAGACTAAAACGACAGAAAGGTAAGAAAAGAAAAATTATAAAAGCATTTATTTAACCAACACTTACCAAGCATCTAAACACAAGTCAGATAAATACTGCGCTTCCAATAAAATTAAAAAATAAGTAAGACGCTATCCCTTCCTTCAAAGAGATCACTTAAAAAAGAAGAAGAAAAAAAAAGATAAACAGGCCAGGTGTGACGGGTCACGATGTAATCCCAGCACTTTGGGAGGCCTGAGGTCAGGAGTTCAAGACTAGCCTGGCCAGCATGGCAAAACCCTGTCTCTACTAAAAACACAAAAATTAGCTGGGCTTGGTGGCACATGCCTGTAATCCCAGCTACTCAGGAGACTGAGGCAGGAGAAGTGCTTGAACCCATGAGGCAGAGCTTACAGTGAACCAAGATGGTGCCACTGCACTCTAGTCTGGGTGACAGAGCGAGACTGCATCTCAAAAAAATAAAAAGGATAAACATGTTAGCAAATAACTGCAAAAACATGTAATAAGTGCTGCAGGGGTGTATGCCCAGCCCAAGGGTGGTCTAAGGAACAGTGAGATCGAATCTGCCTAGATGGGTCAGGAGTAACCTCACAGAGGAGCTACTTGAGTGTACCCCTGAAGAATGAGAAAGTCTGTCACCGCAGGAGGAACACTTCCAAATCATTTCAGGTGGAGGGACTGCCGTGAGCAATGGAAGGATGGTATGGTTCATTAAGCACGTTCAGCAAGGGTATGGCTCAAGGAGCAAGTGAAGAAAGCAAAGGTGTTAAGGAACTATGAAGACAGAGTTAAGAAATGAACAATCTTTTATATTACGCTAAGGAGACTGAATGTGACCTGTAGGAAAGTGCTGCGATTACAGAGAACCTTCATCCCCTGCGAGTAACCAGGAGAGTGACAAAGTTAGATTCGTTTTTTATGAAGAGTTCTGTGACTGCAATAGAACAGATAAATTTGAGGAAGCGTTAGTGGTAGGGAGAGAAATTAGTAAAGTACTGTACTTGTCCAGGGTATAGAACAAAGTTGTCCAACCCGTGACCCACAGGCCACATGCAGCCCAAAATGGCTTTGAATGTACTCCAACACAAATTCACAAATTTTCTTAAAATATTAAAAACATTATGAGATGTTTCTTTCTTTTTTTTTTTTTTTTTTTAACTCATCAGCTATCACTAATGTTAGTGTACTTTTGTCTTTTTGAGATGGAGTCTCACTCTGTTGCCCAGGCTGGAGTGCAGTGGTACAATCTCAGCTCACTGCAGCCTACGCCACCCACGTTCAAGTGATGCTCCTGCCTCAGCCTCCCAAGTAGCTGGGACTAGAGGCACGCACCAACATGCCAGCTAATATTTGTATCTTAGTAGAGACAGAATTTCGCCATGTTGGCCAGGCTAGTCTCGAACTCCTGACCTCAAGTGATTTGCCCACCTTGGCCTCCCAAAGTTCTAGGATTACAGACAGGCATGAGTCACTGCGCCTGGCCATATTAGTGAACTTTATGTGTGGCCCAAGACAATTCTCCTCTTCCAATGTGGCCCAGGGAAGCCAAAAGATTGGACACCCCTGGGTAGAATAAGAAACAGATGCAAGCGAAGAAGTCAGAAGTTGCAAGAGTAACAAGCTCCATTGAAAAAGAGAAAAGAAATAGCATAGGAGAGATGGTGACAGAGCAAAGCCACCCCCAACTCCGAAAAATATGTATTAGCAAGCAGGACAGTAGTCTGGGGACATTCACTGTAGGGACAAAAAGCCCTACATACCTCAACAATTCTGAGGGGTAAGGAAGAAAGATTCTCAACAAAGTTTCAGGATATCTCCTGGGGTCGGTTACATCTCCAGTCCTATATCGCATAGCATCTACAAGTATAATAACTGATCATCACAATGATGGCCCTAAATCACCAACAAGAAGATTAAATTGTGTTCAGCACATTTTGTTCAGCACTACACCAGTTAAGTGTGTAATAGTTTAGGGTGACTTTCATCAAGAACAATAAATAATAAAGTTATGAGACTAAATGATTATGACTTTCAATATATGCAAAATGCCTAACTTCTGAAATTGTTAAATAACTAGGGTTTTTTCCTATACTAACAGTACTAATGCCAAGTATTCAATTTTTAAATGCTTTATAATTTAGCAAATTATCTGCCTTGGAATTTAAAGAACATTGAAATGTTCGTAACAGTAATATAATACATTTGCAATATCCGGTACTTTAGAGAAAAAAAGTAAAAGATTAACATATACCATGTCAGACAGAAGAGCCTTGAAATTCTGGATAGCTTCTTCCCGTTTGTGCTGCTCTCTCTCTCGATCTATTTCTTTTGTTTGTTCTGAACGAGCCTTTTGAACCTCCCTTTCTCGTTCTCGAAGGCTTGCCTCAATGCGGGCTTGCCTTTCAAGTTCCTTTTCTTTTTCTGAGTCTAAATTCTGTAAAAGTAAGAATTACATTATCCCGCTTACCAACTCCATCAAAATATGTTTTCACAGAATAGTTTGTAAAAAAATTCCAAATCTAGTTTTTGCCCAGATCCACCTAAACACTGTGTACCTCTCATCTCCAAATCAATTAGGGACTCTTACGTTAATATTAACAGGAAAAATTCCAAACCCCCAATAGAAGAATTCTCAATAACAATATATACCCTTAAACACAAGTAAGAATTTTATTATTCAATGAAAGCAATACAAGTAAACACAACAGTTACCTTGGCTATTTTTTCAATGTACTGTTTGAAAAGGTCTTCTCTCATTGATGAACTATCTACTGCTTTGTAACGTGGATCACTTTCTACTTTATCTTTTACTTTACTCCATCGAGACTGACTGTCCAAGTGATGATTAGATAATAGTTCAAAGAAATCCGATTTAATCTGTATTTTAAAACAAGTAGTGGGATGGGAGGGAAAATAATGTACCATGAGAAATTCATATCTAAATATTTACAACTAGAAAAAAGTTCACTTACCTTAAATATAAGAATAATAACTTTTAAAATGCACTCATTTAGAGTAGAATGAATCATGGAAAAAGAAAAGATCAGAAGTGCTCTTTTACTAGAAATGCAAACATCAATAAGCATATAGGCTTTCATCTAAAATTTGCCACATTCAAGATAAATCATATTTTATAGAGAAATTATTCAAATATAGAAAAAGGCTTTTTCGGATTGTTTATAAAAGGCAGTTGCACAGATCCAAAATTATATATCTCAGATATGTATTATATATATCTGAGATATAGATTATATATATATCTCAGATCTAAATTATATATCTCAGAACTGCCATGTATTCATAGGGAATATAAATTTACATCGAGCTGCATTTATTTTTAGCTAAGAGTCAGGTTTATGAGCTGACAATACTATCAGCATGGAAGAAATTATTTAAAAAACTAAATGGGTAAAAATTTTGGTCAATGAAATTATTGGGACATTTAGAAATCATTTTAAGTCATTACAAACCTACATTGTCAAATGTCTAAAATCAAAATAGGGTAAAAATTTGTATTTGGGTGAAAAAAAGGCAGTTGTACACCTTGGTATGTCAGAAAATTATGTAATTTCCATGTTCATAATCATTACTAAAAAACTGCAATCAAATCTTCTATACTTTTTAGCATTAAACATGTATGCCTTTACCATTCTAAAACTCAGTGTGTTTATCCAGTATTATACTCAACAACTGAAATACAAAGCTAGTAATATTATACCAAAGGTATTAAATATTATTCCTTCAGTATCAACATATACAACTACTTAAAACCCCTCTCCAAACCGTATCTATTTAAATAGGTGAGGAAAGGAGTAAATGAGATAGTTATCTTTATGTACATTTGAGGGCCTAACAGTTTTAAAATCCCATGTATACTACTTTGCACTCCTAACATAGAAGATACCCAAGGTAACCAAGGTCATTTCAACAAAGAATTCTGACCATATTAAGAATCCTTTCCCCCTTCCAGTAGGAATTGAATATGGTACCTTCCCACCTGATCAAAGGAATCAGGATTTAATGAGTGTAGACAAAAATACATGAATCATTCCTTCTGCCTAGTCTAACACTATCATTTCCCCCTACTACTTCATTTCTCCTACTGGAGGATTAAAAGTGAGGTTGAGGCCAGGTGTGGTGGCTCACACCTGTAATCCCATAACTTTAGGAGGCAAAGTTTCAAGGCAGGTAGATCACCTGAGGTCATGAGTTCAAGACCAGCCTGACTAACATGGTGATACCCCATCCCTATTAAAAATACAAAAAATTAGCTGGGTGTGGTGGCAGGTGCCTATAATCCCAGCTACTCGGGAGGCTGAGGCAGGAGAATCAGTTGAACCCGGGAGGTGGAGACTGCAGTGAGCTGAGACTGCGCCACTGCACTCCAGCCTAGGCAACAAGAGTGAAACTCCACCTTAAAAAAAAAAAAAAAGAGGTTGGTGTCTTTTCTGGAAAATACTTTTAAGGTTATAAGAAACAGAATATTTGCATCAGAAATGTTTCTAAAGACAAGAGCTAATCAGCTATAGATTTCTCCACTATTAAACTTGGCTTTTGACTTGGAATTAAGAAATACTCATAAACCCAGTATTTCCAGACAGTGATTAAGAAACCACCTGATATAATGATGTAACTGAAATTTTTCTGTTCATCTTGTCTACTTTGTATCTGACATGATGAACACGAAATTCCTAGATGCATCTGATAACTGGAAGGCAAAATTTACAAAATTTATGTTAAATAAAACATGCAAGTTATATCAAATAGGAATCTTTCTAAGCCACAGGAATTTATATTAGCTTAAAATAGTTTTCATAAATTAGACATGAAACCTATAAAGTAAGGATTATCATATAGGTTTTTAAATGTGTGATGTATAAAGAAATGAACTTTAAATAAAACTAAACTTCAACTTCCTTTCATTGTGGATATTACCATGACAGGTTATAAAATGGCTTACTAAGGCTGTTATCCATATGAGAAGAATTGTCTTGACAGCTGCATAAATGTCAAAAAATGTCATTTACCATTCTGCAATTCAAGGCCTTATTATTCTCCCCATTCCTTACTGTAACAAAAATAATTTATTCTCAGGAAATTTTAAAGACAGGGAAGAGAAAAATATGTCAATTTCATAACAGTGAATTAACTCCTATTACATATAACTTCAAATGTGCTATTCCAAAAGGTAATTATTTGAACCACAATTTTATAAAAATTTGTTATTATATTACAATAAAACAGCTTGAGAACAGCTACTTTGATAAACAAAATAAGTACACTTTCTTTTTTTTTTGACAGGGTCCCACTCAGTCATCCAGGCTGGAATGCAGTGGAACCATCACAATTCACTGCGGCCTTGACCATCTGGGCTCAAGTGATCCTCCCACTTCAGACTCCAGAATAGCTGGAACTACAGAAGCACATTACCACATCCAGCTATTTTTTTGTTTTGTTGTAAAGATGGGGATCTCGCTATATTGCTTGGGCCGGTCTCAAGCAATTCTCCTGCTTCAGCCTCCCAAAATGCTGGGATTACAGGCATGAGCCACCATGCCTGGCCAATAAGTAGACTTTTAAAGGTTTTTTGTTTTTTTAATAAAATGGAAAACTAGCAGTAAAAACTACATGAAAATGATTATCTTACTGTAAAAATGACTTTATCATGAAAATGCTGCTTAAGAAATACAAGAATTTCACCAGAAGTCAGTGTTCTTCACAGGTTTTCAAAATTAGTTTTAAAAAGGTATTCAGCTATTGACTGAACTATCACAATGCTACAAAGACCAGTTAGAGAATTTTAAGAACAAGGAAACAGACTCCAGTACCTTGCCACTGGTACTGCTCTTGCTGTTCAATTACACAGTTAGAATGTGATTTTTTTTTAAGTATACACAATATACTTAAGAATAGTATAAACAATACAGTGGAAGTCATGAAAGAAAAATGATAAAGCCCCATTAATCACATGTGCTCAAAATGTGAATATAAAATCCACCATATTTAAACCCTTACTTTAAAGATTTCTGCTTTGATGGCCTAGTTAGTCATTGATACTGCATTCTTTAAATTGGCTGAGAAAGCTTCACTTTAGCAATTTCCTGCCTTTTATTTTTAATCTAGTAATGATATAAAGCCAAACCTGTAATTTAAAGAATTAAGATTTTTATAATAAAAATAAAATAAAGCTGAATATATTAAATATTAGATTTACTTAATTTAGATGTCATAGCTATTTAATTTCTTTTGTAAAATTAACACATTCTGGGCACAATTCTCATCACTTCATAAGGAAAAAGACTAAAAAAATGTAAAGTACCGGAACTGCGGGAGGCTAAAGTCACCACACAGAGATACCAATTCTTTCCTCACTAGGGAATCCCATAACACTTTGCGTGTCAGTGATTGACAGCTGTCACTGAACTGATTGACAGGCCGCACAGCACAAAACTGTAAAGTCTATCCAATTGTTATGAAACAGAATACATAAAATAGTTATAAAAAAAGTGTTTAGAAAATCAGTTACAAATGCAAAGATAAATACATATAATTTGTATAAAAGCAATCATACAAAATCAAACAATCACTTATTTACTTGGTTTTCTTTAATCAAATAGGTTATTCTAAAAGTCAAAAGTAGCAATTCTAATTCAACATATAAACTTATGTAGTAGAATTTGATTTTATACATTTCCTCTGAGAAGCATAATCATTTTTTTTTTAAGTTAACAGTGAAACAATTCTGGAAAAACTCACTTGGAAGCCCAATAAATCAGATAATCAAGAAGTTTCAGATATTTCTGATAAAAGCTGTTTCAGCTAATACTGTTACTATTTTGAATGAAAGAGACTTCTTCCCAATAGGAGTAGTATTACTTCCAAACAACATTTCTTAATAGAAATTGTAATATTATAACTTTGTAGAACAAGAGGCAATTTTAAATGTCAAGAATGATTAGGCTGCAGAGGTTATTTTTCTACATTCACAAAGCATACTGGACACTGAGGAGAGTGGCTGCATGTTTTGATGGTTCACACACCACTGGGGTCATCTCCCTACTAGTTTGCCTTCCCAGTGGTAAGCTCCTTTCCACTCCTGACACTGCTATCAAATGACATTTGGAATTCATTAATCTTTGATAGCTGACCTTTAATTCTGATAAGCAATAATTTATATGCAAGATATGTTTACTGAAAGATTAGAAAGTCACTAAAATGCTATCTTTTAGAGGGCAAAAAGAGAAGAGAAGCTCTTTTAAATTCAAATATTACCACCTATAAAGAATCTTGAAATCTTAGAAGATGTCACTGAGCAGGCAGCTCTAACAACCTGTTCTGAGTTTACCAGGCATCTTAGTATTAATACAATTTAAAGCAAAACCATACAGTTTAGTGAACCTACTAAAATAAGCATTATGTAAGTAAAGTGACAGAATACATACATACATACATAATTACAAAAGTTAACTTAAAAGAACAGTCAATGTAGGTCCTTATTTATGCCCATGAATGAGGTCAGAAACATAGCAACAGCACAGTCCTTTCCCATTCACACTCCCATCAATCACACCACTGGAACTAAAACCATCTTACCTTCTCACCTCTGGTCTTCGAATCTTCTTTCTCTTTCTTCCTAGCAGCGGCCACAAATTCATTAAATAAGGCTTCTCGGTCTTTCATCTTTTCAATTGCTTTGAATCTTGAATCTTTAGCATGCTTGGCTGCAAATTCACTAAAAGTTGCTCTGGAACAAAATTACAAGAGTGCTAACTTTGGCAGTTACTTCTTGTATAAAGGCAAAGCAGAAAATATCATTTTTTCAACAAGAATATATGACAAAGAGACACTGGAACCCAACATCTAACTAACAGTGAATAGTAAGTTACAGAAAGGAGTAAAAAGAGGTAATGAGTAAAAGTGTGGTTAAGGGATTTGTATGCTATCAGCACAGAATTAGAAGAACATACATTTATTATATAAAAAGAGATCACAGAGTAAGAATTTGCATGCCTCAAGAAACAAGAGCTCATCAATTTCCACTCTAAGATTAAGCTGAGTCCTGCCTCCAGCCACAACAGAAAATTCTTACTGGATTAGCTCTCTTTCCATACACGACTATAAAACTGAACAAAAGTACATGAGGCAACTGATTTTAAGGAGTAAACAACAGAAAAAGTAAGACTAAAAAGCCTGAAAGAAGGGAAATTCATGAGGTGCAGAGAGCTCAAGTCCAAATAAGAGTATTAAAATCTTAATGAGCTGGAAGAAGCAAAAATTAGAGCTTGGGTGAAGAGGAACCTATAAAGAGAGGGCACCCAAGAAAAATCCCACTTAGGGATTACCCATGAGTACACAGCCAAGGCCAAGCTGTATAACAGCAGGGGACGATCACTCTCTATATCAAGCTACTACAGGATTAAGAGCAAAGAGATAACAGAGAGTCAGCAGTATTAAAGGGAGACTAGGATCAGGCCAACAAAGTCCACAAAAGATTCACAAGGAAAACAGAAATGGAAGACTAAAAGAAGCATAGGATACTTTCAGAGATTCACATTAACAAAACATAAAGTCAAGCCTAAAATTAAGATGGCAACCAGTAAATAAAATGCCTACTAAAACAAAATAAAACACTTTTCAATGAAAGATAACAGAATCCAGAGTCTCTACATATTAGCCACAAAGTCCAATATTCAATCAAAAATCAGTAAATATACAAAGAAACATGATCCACAGAAAATTTGTTTTGAAGTTAACAGAAACTGAACCCAAGATGTCCAGATGTTCTAAGTAGACAATAACTTTAAAACCACTATTACTGGCCAGGTGCAGTGGCTCATGCTTGCAATCCCAGCACTTTAGGGAAGCAAGGCAGGAGGATCGTTTGAGGCCAGGAGTTTGTGAAGAGCCTAGGCAACACAGTGAGACTCCAGCCAGGCAGGGTGGCTCACCGTAAGAGAGCCTGCAATCCCAGCTACTTGAGAAGCGAAGGCAAAAGAATCTTTCGAGCCTGGGAGGCAGAGGCTGCAGTGAGCCGAGATCATGCCACTGCACTCCAGCCTGGAGAACAGAGCAAGATTCTGCGTCAAAAAACAAAACAAAACAAAAATACAGTGTGGTTGGGTGTGGTAGCTCATGGCTGTAATCTCTCTACTTTGGGAGGCCAAAGCAGGTGGATCACTTGAAGTTACAAGTTCCGAGACCAACCTGGCCAACATGGTGAAACCCCGTCTCTACTAAAAATGCAAAAAAATTAGCTGGAAATGGTGGTGGACACCTGTAATGCCAGCTACTCAGGAGGCTGAAGCAGGAGAAAAACCCAGAAGGCGAAGGTTGCAGTGAGCAAAGTGCCACTGCACTCCAACCTAGGTGACAAGAGTCAGACTCTGTCTCAAACAAAACAAGACAACCATAGTGAGACTCTGTCCCTATAAAAAAAATCTGAAAATTGGTTGGGCATGGTGGCACACGCATGTAGTCTCAGCTACTCAGGAAGATTCCTTAAGCCCAGGAGTACAAGGCCACAGTGAGCTGTGGTTAAGTCACTGCACTCCAGCCTGGACGACAGAGCAAGACTCTGTCTCTTAAAAAAGTAAGTAAATAAACAAAATTGTTATTATTACACTGAAAGACTCAAACAAAATAGGCTAGAAGAACTGAAAGCATGGTCTAATGAATGAACAAACGAGCTTTGGCAGAGATACACAAAGTATTAAAAAGAGCCTACAACTAGGTTCTTCTTTTTAGAACCAAGTTGTGAGAAGGAAAAATTAACTGGATAGGCTTAACAGGAACACTGACAATAGAATAAAAAGTCAATTACGTGAAGTTAGATCACTAACAGTTATCTAATCCAAACAGGAAACAGAAAAAGGACTGAGGCAGGGGAAACAGTCTCGAGGACATGTGAGATAATATCAAACACTAATATAAGTGTGATAAGAATCACAAAAGAGAAAAGAATGAATGAGGGCAGAAAAAAATACTAGCAAAAAACTTCCCAAATTTGACGGAAAAAAAAATCAATGTATAAATTCAAAAAGCTCAGCAAACTCCAAATGGGTTAAATAAAAGGATAAGTCCTATGAGGGCTAATGAGCATAGGTTTTAAAAAAGAAGTCTCTCCATAAATAAGATATTATAAAGCTTTCATATATTTGGTATATATTTTAAATATTTGAAGCTTTCACCTTATATAGTATGAATTTATTTTTATTTTTTTTTTTGAGATGGAGTCTCCCTCTGTTGCCCAAGGCTGGAGTGCAACGGCACAATCTCGGCTCACTGCAATCTCTGCCTCCTGGGTTCAAGTGATTCTTGAACCTCAAGTGAGGCCTCAGCCTCCCAAGTAGCTGGGACTACAAGCGCATGCCACCACACCCAGCTAATTTTTTTTATTTTTAGTAAAGACAGGGTTTCACCATACTGGCCAGGCTGGTCTCAAATTCCTGACCTCATGATATGCCCACCTCAGCTTCCCAAATTGCTGCCATTACAGGCGTAAGCCACAGCACCCAGCCAAGAATTTACTCTTATAATTAATAATCCTATACTTAGCATTATGTTAAAGATTATCTTATAGCTTTAATTATAAACAAAAAATCATCCAGTTAATCTCAGAATTTAGAACTTAAAACATCAACTGAAGATTAAATGTATCACTCACAGCTTCCCTTTTGTATTCTACAAAAGGGAAACCTCTTCGGAGTTTCAATTATTTACAGACCCATGTGGAGTTTTAATAAATACATTCTGCTGAATGATTCAGAAATAAACTGCAGACTTCTTAAGACTTCACTTAGAACTATTTCATTCCAACGCAAGATAAAGAATAAAAACAATAGAACTATTTTGACGTGCAACTCCTGAGAGGAAAACCTTTTTCCTCCATAACCACAATACTCAAGAAAATTACTAATTCTCTAACATCTAATACCCCATTCTTACCAAGTGTCCTCCTCAACTGCCCCCCAAAATGTCTTTTATAATGCAGACTCAACTACTTTGACCCATGATCTCACTCTTTTGACTCAGAAAAAGCTCAGGACTCCCTGAAAAGTCTGAACCTCTATTACCCCAGAGTCTGAACCTCTATTACCGCTAAGAGAGAGTATTAAATTCTTCATATCACAAATGCTCAATTAGCTTTATTTTCTAAAACTTAGTATTAATACATCTCAAATATAAAACTATAATACTAAATACATCTTCTTAAACATCACTCTTTCCTATCTCCACAGACAAAACTATTTAAATAAGGTAAACCTTTATAATAAGTGTCATTTAACCCACAGACTCCACGATTCTATCCGACAGTTTTAGAATATCGAGGTATTCACAGTAACCTTAATACCACTACTCTTACATCTAAATCATAAATAAGAGTAATTACCCCTGCCTATACAATTCTGTGCAACACTGAAATCTAGCTGAAATCCTAGCTTCACTTGGGTAAGCTACCAAATTTGCTTATTTCATGTAAAATACGTATCAGCTAAGTTAAATCATACAACCTGTTCTGAGGACTGAATATCTATATGCATATATGTAAAACTATATCCTTTCAGTCATGTTTATATATATGAATAAATGCATAAAGGTACATTTTAAGTAAATTAGCACATAAAACTCTCAATAACTGCTATTACTGTTAGTATAAAGCAAATGAACTTAAAATGTCTCGTTTTCTTCAGCCCATTACATGTATTTAACATATATTATCAATCAATTGAAAATGTCAGATACAACCATTAACTAGACACTTGGAAAATTTTGAAACTGAAGTAGCAAAAGGTCCTTCACCACTTCAATTTAATCAAAATGTTTCTCCTCTGCAATTTATTATGCATAAAACTTTACAAAGATGGGGCATGGATTTTCTATCATTTACTGGTTTCTAAAGAACTTATTCCCACAGGGAAGCACTTAAAGGTATCCTTCTCAGAGTACTTAGGATTCCTCTAAAGAAAACACAGTAAAAATAAAGATCAGAAATTTTGGCAAAAACCAATATTCAAATAAGGAGCTTTTAATGCCCAAAGGGCCAAAAATATATATTTTGTTAATTTTTAAAAACTGATCTTAGGAGAAAATAAATACACTTTGACATTTAAGAGAAATGAACCACATACCTTGGATTAAATTTTGCTTCTTCCATCATTTTTTTGAAATCTTCCTTGGCTTGCATTATTTTGTTTTTCTTTTCCCTGCGTTCTTCTTCTGCCCTGGTCTTTACATACTGATCAAATACCTATTATAAAAATCAACAAATTTGACAAGTCAATCTTTCATATAGGTAATTTTACTACCAAATTATTGGACAATGTCTTTGTCCAAACTATACCAGGAAAAATAAATATTAACTGTAGGTAATTATACACAGATTATACCAAGATTCACTTTAAAGCTTCACTGAAATATTACACAAGCACACAGCTCTCTACTTAGGTTTTGCCATGAACAAAAGAAAACAGTAAAAAGCCTCTTTAATTCTCTTCCCTAATTATAAATTAAATACATGATTATTATAAGCATTTCAAGCAATTCAGAAATGTGTAAGAGAAATCACAGTCTTCCTAAATCCCCTTTGGAAAGAAATATCAATAGTATGGAATCTGTATAATTTTATTTCCATGCTTAAGACATAAGTTATTTTCACTAAAATGTAATCATGCTTTATATCTATTCTATATTTCCCCCACTTAATAGTCAAGATAATAAACTGAAAATAATATATTTCACGCCTACTTCACACCCTATAAAATGACAGAAAAACTTTTTTTTTTAAGTCATAAACCAAAAATAAAAAGGAATTAAGAAAAAAAGAAACGGCAACTTGCAAAGTTGATGGGACAATTGGAAAAGGATGTGACACAACCTAGCAGTCAAGAAAAACAAAGCGGCAACTCAAGTTTTTTCTGAAACCAGAATCTCCTCAAACAATGCAAGAAAAGACAGCACTAGATACCTAGATACCCTATACCTATGATGATGGGTCATAGCTAAAATAAGGAGTATCTGAAGTACTTGATGAAAGGCTATTTAGTAAGTTGTTAAATTGCTAGACCTCCTCACTAACGTAACGTTTCTGGGCACTGCCACTCCAGAAGGTAAAAGGCCACTGACTATTCTCTAAAGCAAAAAATTGACAAGCTATGGCCTACAGGTTGCTTTTATACAGCTCAAGAACATTTTAACATTTTTTAATGGATTGAGGGGAAAAACAGAAAATTTCATGACACATGAAAACTAAACAAAATTCAAATGACAGTATCCATAAATAAAGCTTTAACTAAACAGCCACGCTTATATATCCTTACATATGTCTATGGGTACTTGACACTTAAACAGCAGTTAGAAGATACAATAGAGACCATATGGCCCACAGAGCTAAAATACTAATTATCTGACTCTTAGAAATTTGCTGATCCCCTCCCGCAAACCAAACTAAAAACGTGGAGATTAACCAAACACATACCAAATACTAAGACAGTGTCTCAGAACTGAAGCAGAGAGATCTGTGCCCTCCAGCCCAGATGAGAAATCTTTACTAGGAATCTGTCCCACCTAAAACAATGGCTCCAGGGGTTCTCAACAAACCAGCCTAACTCACCCTACCACATGTTTCTCAACCTTGGCACAATGATGCTTTGAACAAGGTATATGCCAGCATCCCTGGCCTTTACCGACTAGATGCCTGCAGCACTCACTTCAATTGTGACAAAAATGTCTCCTGGGACAAAACTGCTCCTGGTTGAGAACCACCACCCTGAGATACAGCCCCAAAGCATGAGGGCCCACCTAGATGATAAGAATACCCAAACAGGCCGGGCAGTGGCTCACACCAGTAATCCCAGCACTTTGGGAGGGCAAGGTGGGAGGATCATTTGAGCTCAGGAGTTCAAGACCAGCCTGGGCAACAAGGCGAAACCCGAGAAAAAAAAAAAAAAGAGCACCAAAACAGCATTTTAGTGTTTCACTTAAGTAGTCATGATCTACAAGGTAACTAAGGAAACTCTCCAACATGAAAAATAGAGTCCTAAAGAGAACAAACTTAGTGGAATCAGAAACCATACAGAAAAACAAAAATTAAAAAAAAAAAAAAAGTTCCTAAAAACAACCTCACAGAGCTAAGATAATGCACCCATAAAGCAAGAAAAACCTCAAAAAACATAAAAGAACTCTTAGAAATTAAGACACAATAAATTTTAAAAATCTAAATAGTTGGCTGCTAAAGGCGAGGAAATTATCCAAAAAGTTAAAAACAAAAAATAAGAAGACAAAGGTAATTGAAGAAACTTGGAGGAGCAATTCATGAAGGCAAATTCAAATTCGGTCCCAGAATGAAAAAAACAGAACAGCTGACAGCAAATTTTTAAAAGTAACACAAGAGAATTTCTTATAACTAAAAGATCTCAGTTTCCATATGGATAAGGTCAGCCGAGTGCCCAGCACAACAGACCCTTCCTCTAAAAAACATACCACTATGGCATTTCAGAATACTAGGGACTAAGAGATCTACAGGCTTATAGAGAAAAACAGTTTCACATATAAATGAACAGGAATGGCTTCAAAATCAACGAACACTAGAGGCAGAGCAATGCCTTTAGTTAACCAGACAATTCCAAATAAGGGTACAATAAAGGTTTTTCCAAGTATGTTAGGCCTCAAATAAATTTTCCCTGCACATTCTCTCAAGAAGTTACAAAAAGGAAAAGACTTACTGTGTAGGAACAGGTCTATGAACATCTTTATAACAAGTAACAATAAAATGTTTCAAAATAACTCAGACATCTTCCCAAGTCAGTCCACACATATCTACCAATCTTTATCCACTGGGGGTCTTGAAATGTATACCCACAGATAAGGAGGGACTACTGTTATCTATGATTATCTGACCAGTCCCTGCTAGACACATAAGTCACCTTCAATTTCCTCTAAGTATAGCATTGCAGAAAATATTTGAAAGTACTTCTATGCTGAAGAGAGGGATAGAGTTGTTTCCAACTCCTTTCTCAGTATATACATTCTTAATTAAAAAGTATTAAATGATACATAAAATTCAAGGGAATTTATATTAACTTTCCTTTGAGAATCTAGAAAGAACTTCATATTCTCTCTGCTGGGCTACTCCAGACCAAGGTTAGGAATCACTCTCTAAGATAAACATCTCAGAAAATTAGAGGTTGTGTTATGCTTCCAAGTTGCTCCTAAATATTTGTGTCATGCTTCCCAATACACTCGGCTTTATGTTTCCCTTTGTTAAGTGGTTATTTTCTCATAACTTCAGCTCACGAAAAACATAATACAATGAAAATGAGTAAATTTTAAAAATAATTCTGTTAAGTGTACTTTTATAGGCATGAGCAAAAATATATACTATAGAGCTATATCCTTTAAGCCTCCATGCAGCTCTGGAGTGCTTGCAATGTTCCATTTTTTTATCATAATATTCATTTTGTGAAATTTCATTTATGATTTTATCTTTTCTGTTTCAAAATATGTTTACTAAAAATGAGTGTCCATTATTTGATTCTCCTATTTTTAATCTGACACTGATTCAATGACAAACTATTCAGTAACAGTGGCCTGGATGGAATGACAACTCTGAGTAACCATGTGGGTTATGTATTACCATACTGTGGCATGGTCACTATTAAAAAGCGCTGAGTAACAAATGAGAGACTAAAAAGTTTATTTTGGTGTTTTTTTCTCTTAGGGTTCAAGTGCAGGGCTTTATTTTTAATTGACAACTGTACACAAAACACAATCTCGTGTTATTTTGATACATGTGCAACGGAAATGTGTTTCAATACATATCATGTAGAGTGAGATCAAGGTAATTAGCATATCCATGTCAAACATTTATCACTTGTGTTGGAAATGTTCAATATCCTCCTTCTGGCTATTCAAAACTACTTACTATTGTTAACCAGTCATCCTACAGTGCTACAGAACTCCAGGACTTATTCCTCTTATCTAGTTGTAATTATGTATCCTTTCACAAATCTCTTCCTATCCTCCCGCCTTCTCCTTACCCTTCTCAGCCTCCAGTAGCCTCTGTTCTACTGTCTACTCCTATGACATCAACTTTCTTTTGCTTCCACATATGAGAACATAGGATGTTTCATCTTTCTGTTCTTTGCTGATTTCACTTAACGTGACTTCCAGTTCCATCTATGTTGCTGCAAATGACAGGATTTCATTCTTTTTTACGGCTGAAACCACATTTTCTTTATCCAGTCATCTGTTGTTAGATACCTAGGTTGATTCCGTACCTTGGCTACTGTGAATAGTGCTACAATAAACATGAGAGCGCAGTATCTCTTCAATATAGTGATTTCTTTTCCTTTCAATACACGCCTCATAGGGGGACTGCTGGATCATATAGTTCTGCTTGTAGTTTTTCAAGGAACCTCCATACTGTTCTCTGTAGTGTATATACTAAATTCTAACCAACACTGTATAACGAGTTCCCTTTTCTGAGCATCCTTGCCAGCATTTTATTATTTTTGCCTTCTTTATATACTCCTAACTGGAGTGGGCTACCTCACTGCTGTTTTGATTTGCATTTACCTGATTAGTGGTGTTGAGCATTTTTTCATTGTTTTTATTGGCCATTTGTACGTTTTCTTTTGAGAAATGTCTGTTTGGATCATTTGCCCAGTTCGACTTTCTTTTCTGTTGAGACAACTGAGTTCCTTGCACATCTTGGATATTAATTCCCTGTCAGTTAAGTAGTTAGCAAATATTTTCTCACATTCTATAGAATATCTTCACTGTTGTTTCCCTTGCTATGCAGAATTGTTTTAATTTGATATAACCCCATTTGTTTATTTTTGCTTGTGCTTTTGATGTCTTATTCATAAAATCTTTTCCCAACCAATGTCCAGAAGCATTTCCCCTATAGTCTTTTTCTAGTAGTTCTATCATTTCAGATCATACATTTAGGTCTTTAATCTATTTTGAGTTGATTGTCAGATAGGGCAAAAGGTGGTGGTCTGGTTTCATTTCTTCTAAACCTAACTTCCAGTTTTCCCAGCATCACTTATTGAAGAGACTGTTCTTTCCACAGTGAGTGTTGGCAACTTTGTCAAAATAAGTTGGCTATAGATATACGGATTGATTTCCGAGTTCCCTATTCTGTTCCTTTTGTCTATGTGTCTGTGTTTATGCCAGTACCGTTTTAGTTAGTATAGCTTTCTAGTATATTCTGAAGTCTGGTACTACCATACCTCCAGCTTTGTTCTTTTTGCTTAGGATTGCTTTGGCTATTCCAGGTCTTTTTTGGTGTCACACAAATTTTAGGGTTTTTTTTTTTTTTTAAATGAGGTCTCATTCTGTTGCCCAGGCTGGAGAGCAGCGGTACAGTCACAGCTCACTGTAATCTCACACTTCTGGATCCAGTGATCCTCACACCTTAGTCTCCCAAGTAGCTTGGGCTACAGGTACATGACACCACACCCTGGCTAGTTCTTGTATTCTTTTGCAGCAAGATCTCACTATGACAGTCTCAAACGACTGGCCTCAAGTGATCCTCCTACCTTGGTTTTCTAAAGTGGTGGGATTACAGGCGTGAGCCACCTCACCTAGCCAGATTTTTTTGTTCCATTTCTGTTCAGAATGTCACTGGTATTTTGATAGAGATGGTACTGAATCTGTAGATTGCTTTGGGGAGCACTGCCACTTTAACAATATTAACTATTCTGATCCATGAGCATAGGATTATCTTCACCTTTGTATCCCATTCTGTTTCTTTCATCAATGTCTTATAGTTTTCCTTATGGGGGTCTTTCACCTATTTAGTTAAATTCAATCTTAGATATTTACTTATTTATTTGCTATTGTAAATGGAACTGCTTTCTTGATTTTTCAGCTAGTTCATTGTTTGTGTACAGAAACACTATTGTTTTGGATATTTAATATCCTACAATTTTATTGAATCAGTTTGTCAGGTTTTCGTTTTGTTTTTTTAAGATAGTCTTGTTGTCACCCAGGGTGGGGTGCAATGGTACAATCTCGGTTAATTGTAACCTCCATTTCCTGGATTCAAGCAATTGTTGTGCTTCAGTACCTAAGTAGCTGGGATGAAAGGCATTAGCCACCACACCTAGCTAATTTTTATATTTTTACTAGAGATGAGGTTTTGCCACTTTGGCCAGGCTGGTCTCAAACTCCTGGCCTCATGTGATCCGCCTGCCTTGGCCTCATAAAGTGCTGGAATCACAGGCATGAGCCACCATGCCCAGCCTGAATTTGTTTATCAGTTCTAAGAGACTTTTGGTAGTATCTTTAGGTTTCTCTCTATATAAGATCAATCTCATCTGTAAACAGAAACAAATTGACTTCTTACTTTCTAATTTGGGTATCCTGTAATTCTTTCTCTTGCCTAATTGCTCTGGCTAAGACTTCCAGTATTATGATGAGTAGGAATAGTGAGAGTGGGTACTCTTGTCTTCTTCCAGTTCTTAGAGGAAAAGCTTTTAAAATGTTTACTTTGAAATAAGAGAGAACTTATTATCTACAATCTATGTCAGAACCTACTAGTATCCTATATGTAAATGGTCTAGTTTTTGTAAAAAAAAAAAAAAAAAGTTATTCAATTAAAATGTAACAAATAAAACAAAAACATGTCAGACCCCTTAAGTGACCTTTTATCAAAGGAAAATTCTAAGTTAAAATGTATGGTTACAATGATATAAAATACATCTTTTTGCGGGGGGGGGAAGGGTCACCCAGGCTGGAGTGCAGTGGCATGATCTCGGCTCACTGTAACCTCTGCCTCCTGGGTTCAAGCGATTCTCCTGACTCACCCCCAGCTAACTTTCGTATTTTTAGTAGAGATGGGGTTTCACCATATTGGCCAGGCTGGTCTCTAACTCTTGACCGATCTGCCCACCCTGGCCTCCCAAAGTGTTGGGATTACAGGCGTAAGCCACCACACGTGGCCATAGAATACATCTTGATTCTCCGCCATCACTCCCAGTTAACTTTCGTATTTTTAGTAGAGATGGGGTTTCACCATATTGGCCAGGCTGGTCTCTAACTCTTGACCGATCTGCCCACCCTGGCCTCCCAAAGTGTTGGGATTACAGGCGTAAGCCACCACACGTGGCCATAGAATACATCTTTTATAATGATACAGAATGTACATAAATCTACAATTAACTAGAAAAGGACAACTCAAATATAATTTTATATTATGAGGAATTTCCAATGAAGTTATTAGTGTTTTCTAAATCAATCACTTTGCAGTATGAAATTACAAAGTGTAAATGTGTAATGTGCAACCTAGCACCTTTCTGGTTGTTCCTTTATTTTATACTCCTATGCAAACAATAAAACCAAGTATTCAAAACGAGTGTTTATTTTTAAATTTAAATGCCAAATGTTAACTACTACTTCATCTTAGCTCTTACATCCTGATTGCTAAAAGAAGAATTCCATATAAAAGGCATGAGATGCCAGGCACGGTGGCTCACACCTGTCATCCAGACACTTTGGGAGGCCAAGGCGGGCAAAATAGTTGAGGTCAGGAGTTCAAGACCAGCCTGACCAACATGGTGAAACTCTATCTCTACTAAAGATACAAAAATTAGCCAGGAATGGTGGTGCACGCTTGTAATCCCAGCTACTTGGGAGGCTAAAGTGAGAGGAGCACTTGAACCCAAGAGGTGGAGGTTCAGTAAGATAAGATGGCGCCACTGCACTCCAGCCTGGGCAACAGAGCAAGACTCCATCTCTATAAATAAATGGCATGAGGACTTTTAACTCAAGATTTTATTGAAAACACTAGAATAATATTTTCTCTTTTCAAGTGAAATTCTATTAAGGAGATACCACCATCAGCTTATAGAATGCTTCAAAAATTGGGGAAAGAACTATAGTTCTCAATGTTACTTATAATTTCACTGTAACAGTACCATGAGGAATATGTCATAAAAATGTTAACGTCTTCAGAGATATTTAGATCAGACATTGTTCTAGGCACAACAAATAAAACAAGGAAGACATAGTTTCTATCCTCATACAATTTATATTTTGCAGGAGGAGACAGATAATAAAATCATGATTTTATATAATTAGAGCCATGACCACTATGAAGAAATTTAAAAAGGCACAGAGATAATACTTGTATTCATTAGAAGGCACTTGGACAAGTACCTTAATGAAATGATGAAGCTGGCTGTGCTAACACCTGAAGAAAAAACGTTCCAGACGGAAGGAATAGCAAATACCAAAATGTGACTGGCTTGTTCAAGTAATATCAGGACAGTATGGCTATAATCAACAAACATTAAAAAAGACCTTCAAGAGGTACATGGGGATAAGTATATGTAGAAGAGACCATGAAAAGAGCTTCAATTTTATCCTCAATGAAATGGAAAGCACTAGACAGTTTTAAGCAAGGGAACAGGGACTTAATTTAATATCACTTAAACTTTAAAATTAGTCTGGCTGCTGTGTGGAAAAAGAACTTGACTAAAGAGAAACAAGAACACATGGAATGAAGGTGATCAACAAGAGACTACACCAGATGATAAGGGTTGTTAATGGGAGGAATGACGAATAAAAGGTGAGATTTTGAAAATTTTTTGAAGGTAGATTGTAGATTTGCTGATAAACAGGCAGTGGGGAAAGTAAAGAATCAACACTGATTTATAAATTTTGGTAGGGCCATAAGCTGAAATGAGAATTAAAAACTCAGAGTTTGTTTTTTTTTTAAAAAAAGTACAAAGCTTAAACTGCAGATTCAAATACATTAAGAAAGTTAGGTCTTTCTATTCCAAGTACTAAAATATGTATCTGGCACATTGTAAATTTTCTCCCTTCATTCAAGTCCATGATCAGGCCTACATGCATAATGACACAAACAGTTTGAAGAATTATTCCAATTGTTACATTAAAAATATCAAAGATGGGCACTACTGTTACCAAAAGAAATCTTACAGCTTAACAGCCCTATAGCAAGTGGTTCCACATACTCACCATTTTATGGAGATCAGTGTCAGGACAGTTCAGGTAATTCAGAAATTATGTAAGTTGGAAGTGTGCAGTGCTTTAGAAGAAGCACTCATGAAATGATATGTGTTACAGAATCATCGTGAGACTAAACGGCAACTTTGTAACAAGGCAACTAATGCAACAGGGACGCTGATGCATCCACTGTTTCTGAGTTTATGATGAAAACAAATATTTTAACAGATGCTACTTAGATGTGAACTTTGTGTAGTTGTGTATGAGACATAAACGTATGTTCAAGTACTATCTATAGGACACACATACACATGTATATGTATATTCTGACACATAATGGTCAAGAAGGCTGTTCAGTATTCAGTAATAAACCAAAGTGTTCAATGGTAGTCGTAGTACCTACTAAATAGGATTAAAGTGGGGTTTTTTTCCTCTTTACCCATCTGTATTTTGCTATTTTTCTACTCTAAATTTGTATCATTTGCCAAAAAAAGCAAAATTAATAAATGCATTTGAAATGAATTTTAAAACCATATTACACATAATCTAGGTTTAAGAGGCATAAGGACAAAATGTTTACAAGACAAAAGCCATGCTCATAAGAGCAAAAATATCCAAGAATTCTGAGATAGAAATGTTCACATATAGACACATAGTACGGAAGACTATGTTTTTGAAATGCTATATTGGAAAAAAAAAGAAATGGTACTTTATTCCTTATAATTTAAAAATTATGTTGGCAAGTGATATACATTCTTAGATAATGCCATTTTCCTTTTACCTGTTTTCTCTCTTTAGGATTGAGAAGTAAGTACCGAGGATCAAAAACTATCTTGTGCAACTCCTTCTCCCATGTTGAAAAAGCAGACACCTTTAAAATAAAAATGTATTGCCTCATAATTAAGCTTGCTAGAAAAATTTAAAGGTCATAATTTTGCTTGAAATCTACAGGATATCTGTTTATAAAGGAGACATAAAACCATACTGAAGTTTCCATCACTAATAAATGACAAGCAGTAGGAGGCTAGCAACAGCAAATTTCCACACTAATTGGCTCTGAACGTTCCTATATTATATAGAAATAACACACTTAATTACTCATTAAAATAACCACTACTGTGTGACATTTTAAAAATCAGCACATCAGAAGAAGCCTTGAAGATCTGTATTTTGATTTCTCATGCTTGCTCCAACCTTGTGAACAATGTTGTGATATAAAATTAAACAATTTTACTTATTCCAATGAATCTGTGAATACAACCAAATAGTTGAAATCCCTTCTCAATTAAGTTGCTAATATTATAAAATATCAGTTCTCCTTTAACAAAAGCCATTCTGAAGATATTAAAAGAAGAATAATCATATATACCTTACCTATCCCAAGCAGTCCGCCATTCTGTAATGTTAAATACTCGTCTTATATTACTCACCACAATTTAATGACCCAATAAATGTTAAGTGTTATTTGTACTTAAAAGGACAGTAAAATGGCACTTAGTTAAATATAAGATTAGCCAAGAAAAAGGCTGTTGGAAGAAATGTACAGTAATTTGATACAGCCCCCTTATCCCCCCCATAACATGAGCACTAACCTTAGATTTGACCTTTTAGCAAGACATATTTATATTACTTATACAAAACAGAAATATCTCCCCCAAAGATTGTTTTCTGACCCCTCTCTCTAGCAGCATGTCCTTGAACTGCTTCATTCGAGCCTCCAGAGGGACAATGGCCCTTTCTCGGGCAGCTTTAATTTCAGCTTCCATGGCAGCTTCTTTCTCTGAGTCAATGTCTTTATTATCATCTCTCCTATAAAAAATAAAATATGAGACATCAACTGACAAAATATCAATTCACAGATCTTATTAGAAATCTTAACATCACTGGGATTTTCAAGACTCACTACTGAGCAGCATATTTTTGGCAAAAACAGATTATACTGACGGTTTCAAATGAACTCTAAGGGATAAACAACTTTCTTAACAACAAAATTAAAATGGGCTTCTAATGATTAATAATGGCTTCATTATTAGAAAAAAAGCTAAATCTTTAATGTGCTGCCTCTTCCTGACACTGGTTAATAACACAAAAAGTCAACAATCTTACTTTAAAAAAACAGTTTATGAAATAACCCTCTATGTGTCAGAATCAAACAGCACAGAACATAATTTTTTTAGTTCTTGAAATACAGAAAGAACAGTATTTTCCAAAATGTTTTACATTATAAGTACATAAAATATTTTGTAAAATCTAATAAAAATTGGTATTAAGTGGTATTATGTTTTAGTAATCTCAAACATTTATTTTAAATATAAAACTAAAATATCTGCAATCTTGGCCAAGTGAATATGTAAGATATATATATATATACCTTACCTACCTGACATTTTATTACTCACTTTCTGGGTGATAAGTTGAGATTTAAGTTGAAGGACAGGTCCCAGAGAGCAATATGGGCCCAGGAGTAGTTAGGTGGAATTAGAACTGTTCATCAATGACTAGCCTACTTCTTGTTCCTCCAAAAATGCACCTCAGGGGTAAGGGCAACCCTGTTTCTGTGTGGTACTCAAGTGAGATTGTAAACATGGAATCATGGCACCTCTCAAATATATGCACTACGAAAAAGGTCCACGCATGTAAATAATCCAAAAAAGTATGTAATTCAATAATATCTGTGTATATTTCAGCAGATCTTCCTTCTTAAATAAGATCTGCTAAGTATATTTTAAAAATTGGCTCTTATGCCCTAAACAAACTTAATGGAATCAGGAAAACAGAACATGTGGAAATTCAAAAGCATGCTATACAGGGAACTGTAGGTAGCCCCCGAGATTTAAAAGGATTAAGGCTAACCCACAAATGCAAGTGAGAGGTACTTAGCAACTTAGGTAATGAATCAAAAGAAATAGAAGGCATAGTCCGTGACCTGCAGGAACTTAGCGAGATAGTCTGTGACCTAAGATATGCACAAAACAAACAGGTAAAAGCAATTTGCCAAACAATATACCCTCTTATAATAATAATTTTAAAACTGTATAAAGAGTTAAAAGACATCCAAGAAATATAATAACTAATGAAAACAAATAACCTTTATAAAACTATACTAAATGAAAATGTCACAATACAAACTATCACTATCTATCTCAATTAAGGAAATAAAAGAAAAACTAAGCCAGGAAAAATAGGCTTTTAGCTTTGTACCTAAATAGAGAAGCTCGGGCAATCCACATAAAGGACTTCTTTGACATTCTCCTGATAAAAGCAGTTAAAAACCTTACAGAGTTGTCTATAAGAACAAACAATTAAAAACAACCTAAAAGTTTAACATTGTAGGAACATCCAAAATTATGATACATAAACAGAATGAATACAGTCATTTATAATTAAGGAAACAATTATCTTATTCTAGGTTTTTGGTTTTTTTTAAACAAGCACAAAATCAGTTAATCACAACTAATAAAAATTACATTTGGTCAAGAACTAAAAAGTCAATTGCAAAAATGAGAACAGCTATGTTATGCTGATAGATTATGAGTGATTCTCTTTCATATCTTTTACGTTGTTGCCAATAAAGCATTTTTTTTAAAAAAGAATTACCCTTTATAGGGGTTGTCTTACTGATTTCCTTGCCATTAATTTGGCTGCATTCAATCTGTCCTTTTCAGTTAAGGACTATGATTAACCAGTTCCTGTTAATGTCTTCAAACTTTCCTTTTTGCTGCTAAATAATGGTCCCATTCCCCACACATGCATACCCTCTACCCCACCCGTCCCCTCCCATAACATTTACATTTTACCCAACTCTAGAGCACTGGCCAAGCTAATAATGCCTCTACGTCTTAGCAATCTCGTTCTCGCAGAGCACTTCCTAAGCTTATGTCATTACTCCTTTCCAAGAAGTAATGACAGTAAGTCATAAGATAACTACATAAAGAGGGAGAAAGCTGTGTCTGCTTTTATGAGCTCTCTGGAATGGTTATCTACTGGGGTCTACCTGAGGGAGGAAACTAATTTTTTATAAAATTGAGGCCTAATAAATTTCTAAAAAGAATTAACTCCAAAACTATCACCTGGCTTCTTAATACATACATGAATACCCAAAGCTTCTACAAATCTAGCAACAGAAGGGGCACATTTTCAACAATAAAACAGCTATTTAATATCAGGCCTAAGCAAGCAACCATGACTGCTGTCTCCTAACAATATTCACATTACCTGGCCCTTCCAATCACAAATTATTACCAAATCAATGTTTAAAAGACACAATCTACCTGAATCAAACTGTATGTATTACTTACTTCCGTTTTTTTGCTTTAACAGGCTCATCTTCATTAATTTCTTCCATTAATTCTTGTTCTTCTTTAACTGTAAGATAAAATTTAATTAAAATATTTAGGCATGAATCCTTCTGCTAATCACTACCAGAACACTTCAATAGTATTAAAGCCATTTACAGTTAGTTCACTCACTTGCACTCATAGAGAATTGCCACTTTTGGATCGACAGCATTGTCGGAGTTGGGTGTCCTGGCAAAAACATTTCAAATACTGTTACAAAGTCATATGCGTCTATTTCACAAACTCTTCTTTTTAAAAATTACTGTTTACATAAAATATTCACCTCTTAATATTCATCCCTTTATAAAACATTAAACAAAGCATAATTCTATACTTATTTATCCTCCCTTTACATTAAATTTTCAATTCATTTTGAAATGTTTCTTGCCCAAACCTTAAATTTACAAATATATAAAATAAAGCTTTCTTGATTCAGGATTTACAGCACCTTTTAATGATGCATGTTAATGTGTTTATCAAAGGAATAAATCACATATTTAAAAACAAATTCATGAAAAACAAAAGCAAATCACATACTTTTTCAACATCATTCAATATCATGGCTATCAAGTATTATTATCATACCTGAAAAACAAATATTGCTGAAGGTGAGCCTAGTACCTTCAGCACCAGATAGGCAAAGTTGCACTGATTCAGAAATTACTTATAAAGTGCAAATGTCAGTATACAGATACAATGCATGAAAATGTCTCAATCACTATAAATGATACACACTAGGATTTATTTCATTAGAAGTATTAAATAATTCATTTATCTTGCTTTTACACCACATGGGGGCCACAGTTCTCTAAAAACACAATCATAGCAATACAAGAGCAAATTACCAATAAGAAATACACAACAAAAATTATGTACAAATATTTGTACTCAATATATTAGAATGTCCTCTGAATATGTGGTAGATTAAAAGATAATCTCTTAGTAAGGTTTAGGTGTTCATTCTCAGGAATATAAAGGACTTACCATCTACTGCAAAAGATTGAGATTTTGTATTTTTTAAAAATTTATACTGAATTATTTCAAGAAAAATATTAGAAGTTGCAAAAGGTGCTAAAAGGCCCACCGAGGAGCATTTTAGTAGTATTGATAAGCACTAAGCAAGCAATAACTGTGCCAACTATATCTTTATCTAACTGAAAATCTTGAGAAGGACAACAAATTAAAGACACATACATTTTACGATGCACAATCTCACCCAAATTCTCTGTATTATTTCACTCAAACTAGCATACCAATCTATTTTTTTCCTTTGTAACACTGCTTATATTTTTTGAAAAAAAGAGTTTCTAAATAACCCCCATTTTCTATAAAAATATGAAAAAAATGTTAAAATCAGTGGATAAATTCCTAATTTAAAACTTACTTAGTTTCTTCAATTCTTCCATTCCTTTTTTATGAGGGGGCTCCTGAATAATTTTGTCAACATCTGCCCTGCCAATCAGATCATCAGGTCGGTCCCACATAGAAAGACGAGTGGTGGGATTATAAAAGAAGACCCGCTCATCACCGGTCCAAACAACACACCTAAGGATTGATTCAAAATATCATTCTTTTAATGTTATAGAACATATTTTATAGCTAGGACTTCTACTTTCAACCTGTTACAAGTGGGGAGATGAGGGTACTGAAGAAGGACATGTTCTTATTACCAATGATTATTAGCAGAGAACCAAACATGGTTTTTAGAAGAGAACTCAAATGACTCAAAAATAGCAGATCAACATATTAATTGAGAAAACCAAAAAATACAAAGTAATTTGTGATCAAGGATGAGAATGCTTAGGAACTTGGTTTGGCACACTTAATTTGAGAGTACTAAATTATAAACTATTAGCAAGATTGAGTTTAATGGCAACGAACAATAATGCTATTAAGCAGTTCTAAACCTAAAGAACAACAGACATAGCACCCTACCTACTATAGTTCTTAATATTTCTTAAAAAAACAAAATTACATACTCAAATGCAATCTATGAAGACTTTAAGATCTAATTATATCTGTAACAAAAAGTAAAGAGAAGGCCCAGTGTGGTGGCTCACTGGAGCTCAGGAGTTTGAGACCAGCCTAGGCAACAATGGCGAAACCCCATCTCTACAAAAAATATTAATTAAAAATATTAGCTGGATGTGGTTGCATGCACCTGTAGTCTCAGCTACTCAGGAAGCCAAGGTGAGCAGATCACCTGAGCCCGGGAGGTCAAGGCTGCAGTGAGCTGTGATGGCATCACTGCACTCCAGCCTAAGCAACAAAATGAGACCCGGTCCCCCTAAAACAAAGTAAAGTATCAATTGTATTATGCATTGTACACTGCAGCCCACTACAACCCACTGGTCCTATAAATTACAATTAGAAAACTCAAAGAAAAAAACAAAACACAACTACATTCAGACTCTGTAGTCTTAATAAATAAACAGAAAGCAATATGGAGGACAATCAAAATTTAGAGAAACAAATGCAAGAAAATATATCTCTCCATTTCACCCACCTCCCATCTCATAGCTCTATCCTGAGGGTGATCTCTGGTTGCCGAGTGGCATGGTTGCAGTAGGAAGGCAGCTAAAACTCCAAAAGAAACTAAGTATTTATGGCCTGATTATCAAGCTATTCAACAGCTGTCATGCCCAGGATAACTTACAAGATGAAATGATCAGACTAAACCTCCTATGTTAAGGAAGTCAAAAACTTTAAAGCAACAATAACTAGACTTCCCTGAGATAAAGAAAAACACTTAAATGAAAAACGTTCTCAGTAGTGAAATATAAAATGCAAAAACAACCATAAGGAAAATTTAGAAATTAAAAATAACTGAAATTAAATTTTACTGGATTGGCTCAAGAACAGAATGGAGATGCCAGGAAATCATCTGAATTAGAAGATGGATCCGCCAGGCATGGTGGCTCACACCCATACTCCTCACACCTGCACTTTGAGATGCTGAGGTGTGGGAGGATCACCCGAAGCCAGCATTTGAGACCTGCCTGAGCAACAAAGTGAGATTCTCCCATTTCTATAAAAAATAAAATACAAAAACAGCCAGGCATGGTGGCATGCACCTGTAGTCCCACCTCCTCAGAAGGCAGGAGGCTAAGGCAGTGAGCTATCAATGTGCCACTGTCCTCCAGCCTGGGTGACAGAGCAAGACCCTGTCACTTAAAAAAAAAAAAAAATCAATAATTATCGCATTTGAGGAACAGGAGGTGGGGACGAACCCAAGTCTGAAAATTAATGAGGACCATGAAGTTCCAAATCAATGGGGTTTGGAGTTGGTTATTAACTTTTCATTCATAATACTCAAACAGAGAAACCACAACCCAGGAATATATTCTTGGAATACAGACTATTTTCCTAACTTTGACTTTGAAACTAGGTAAATATTTTCCATAATTATTTTTTTAAATGAGGCTGTGTAACAGTCAGTGGAATAATTATAGAAATTATACAGGAAACAACTATTCCAAGTGCCTTTAAAACACAGTAATTTGATTATGCATTACTAGAGCAACTTGCCCTAACCATAGTTTTTTAAAAAACTATCTTCAGTAATCATATTGTTAGTGATAGTTTTGGTACTGTTACTCAGTGACTTGTGTGTGAGAAAAGCAAATGGGCAATTAGATAGCTATCATTGAGAAATAGTATTTTCAGCAAGAAATGAGATACTGAAGATAGATGATAAAGTTCAATAAAAATCTTGAGGTAGATCTGAACAGCAATTAATGGTATGAACTCATGCTGTATCTTTGAATGTGTGTATGTTCCAGCTGTGTCTACCAAAGAATTCTAAAAATAATGACTAATTCAGTTGCAACCTATCCATTTCCCACAAAAATGCCCAGGCCCCCTGGAAAAATGGCTGAGTTTAAGTCTGAGACAGGAAATATACAAAATAAGCCTAGAACATCTCGTCATAGCAGAAAACAGGGAAACTATAAAATACAGGATTGTAACCAAAAGACCTGAAGAGTCAACTGCAAGAGGCTTCTCCTGACTAAAGATGAGACAATTTTAAACATCAATAAGAATAAAAACTGCAATACATTAAAAATATAGAAAATATATTTAATCTATGAATTAATACTCAAACCAACTAACTATTCTGAAAACTGCTAAGTCCCTCCCTTCCTATACAATTTGTACCTCTAAACCACCAGTGCTGATAAGGGAACGTATCTCTCTATAAGCATCCCAGTTAATAAATTAAAAGGGAATAAAAGAAATACATTAGCACTACTTTCAACCCTTAACCCATTTATGCCTAGTGTTCCATTACTGGAATGCTAAGCTTGTGCGAGTTATTAATATCCTACTGCTCATTGCCAAGGTCTGATTTTTCACCCCAAAAAAAAAAAAGTGCAATCTTACGCATAAATGGGCTAATGATTTAATTGATCTAGGCTCATTTTTCAGTCTCACACTGCTGATACATTGGGCTTAATAATTCTCGTTGGGAGCAGTCCTGTGCATAACAGGATGTTTACAGCATCCCTGGCCTCTATCTGCTAGATGATACACCCTCCAAGTTTTGACAACTGAAAATATCTCCAGGCATTGCCAAATGCCCAATGGGGGCGAAATTACTCCTAGTGGAAAACCTCTGATCTACACAATAATCATCATCACTTATGAACCAGGCTTGCCAAAAAGATTAAATATGAATCTGATCACACTTTTAGATCTGCTTGGCTGTTTGCAGGAAATTCAGGAATGGAAGACCCTATATTAAACAGTACCGTGGAGGACCCTATTAGATAGTACCATGGGGACAAACCCAGATCTGGAAACACTATAGGAAAAACATTTATTTCTTCAATAACAGAAACAAGGAAAAGTTAGAAGGGAACCTCTAGATTACAGACTTCAGAAACAAGCCAAATCATTGCAATGTGTAGATGATATATAGATTAAATAAGCTGGAACAGGAACAAGAAAAGCAGCACTGATATGGTAAAAGGAAGAAAAGGGAAAAACAAGATGAGAGGAAAATAAGAATTAGACAGGCATACCTTAGATATTGTGGGTTCAGCTCCAGACCACCACAATAAAGCAAATGTTGCAATAAATCAAGTATTGCAATAAAGTAAATCTCAAAATGTTTGTATACCAGCACATACAAAAATTACGTTTACATCATGCTGTAGTCTATTTAGAGTGCAATAACATTATGTCCCAAAAAAAACCCAATGTACATACCATAATTTAAAAATACTTTATTGCTAAAAAAAAAAAAAAAAAATGCTAATAATCATCTGAGCTTTCAGCCCATCATGTTTTTGCTGGTGGAGGGTCGTGCCTCAATCTCTTGATGGCTGATGACTCATCAGGCTGGTTGCTGATGACTGGGGTAGCTATGGCAATTTCTTAAAATAAGACAAATATGGAGTTTGCTACATCAATTGACCCCTCCTTTCACAAAAGATTTCTCTGTTGCATAGGATGCTGTTTGATAGCATTTTACCCACAGGAGGACTTCCTTAAAGTTTGGGATCAAACAAAATTGAAGCCCTGCTGCTGCTTTACCCACCAAGTTTAGGTAACATTCTAAATCCTTTATTATTTCAACAATGTTTACAGCATCTTCAACAGTAGATTCTATCTCAAGAATCTACTTTCTTTGCTCATACATAAGAAGCAACTCCTGACCCATTAAAGTGTACTCATTAGATTGCAGCAATTCTGGCACATTTTCAGGCTCACTTCTAATACTGGTTCTCTTGCTACTTCCACCACATCTGCAGTGACTTCCTTCACTAAAGTCATCCATGAGAGTTGGTATCAACTTCCTCCAAATTCCTGTTAATGTTGACATCTGGACCTCGTCGATGAATGACCAGTGTTCTTAATGGCATCTAGAATGGTGAATCGTTTCCAGAAGGTTTTCAATTGACTTTGCCCAGATCCACCAGAGGAATCACTGTGTATGGCAGCTATAGCCTGATGAAATGTATTTCTTCAGTAATAAGACTTAAGTCAAAATGACTACTTGATCCACTGCAGACTGGATGTTGTTATCAGGCATGAAAACATTATTCATCTCCTTGTACATTTCCAACAAAGCTCTTGGGTGAAGAGGTGTTTGTCAATTAACAGTAATATTTTGAGGGGAAAAAAATTTTTTTCTGAGCAGTAAATCTCAACTGTGGACTTAATTCAGTAAACCACGCTATAAACAGATGTGCTGTTATGCAGGCTTTGCTGTTTTATTTATAAAGTACAAAGAATGATTTAGCATCATTCTTAAGGCCCTAGGATTTTTCAAAATGGTATATGAGCAATGGCTTCAACTTAAGTCACCAGAAAGATGGTGAAAGTCAGCCCATCCTTTGAAGTCAGGCAGTGACTTCTCTTCTCTAGCTATCAAAGTGCTAGCTGGCATGTTCTTCCAATAGAAGGCTATTTCATCTACACTGAAAATCTGTTCTTTAATGTAATTGCCCTCATCAGTGACCTCAACTTGATCTTCTAGATAAATGCTACAGCTTCTACATCAGCACATGCTGCTTCTCCTTGCATTTTTGTTAATGGAGATGGCTTCTTAAATCTCATGAACCAACCTCTGCTAGCTTTCAACTCTTCTTCTGTAGCTTTCTCGCCACTCCCCACCTTCACAGAACTAATGATAGGTAGGGCCTCTCCTGCTGTGGATTAGGCTTTGGCTTAATGAAATGTTGTGGCTGGTTTGATTATCTATCCAGACCACTCAAACTTTCGTCATATCAGGAATAAAGCTTTCTTGTTATCCTTATGTTCACTGGAATAGCATTTTTCATTTCCTTCAATTTCTTTTGCATTCACAACTTGGCTGTTTTGCCAAAGAGGCCTAGCTTTCAGCCTATCTTAGTTTTTGACATGCCTTCCTCACTAAGCTTAATCATGTTTAGTTTTTGATTTAAAGTGAGAGGTATGTGACTCTTCTTTTCACTTGAACACTTTGAGGCCATTATGGGGCTACTAACTGGCCTAATTTCAATACTGTTGTGTCTCAGGGAAAATGGACACCCAAGGAGAGAAAGAGAGATGGGGAACAACCAGTCAGTGGAGCAGCTAGATCACACACACTTACCAATTAAGTTCACCATCTTACATGGGTGTGACTTGTGGCACCCCAAAACAATTACAACAGTAACATCAAAGATCGCTGATCACAGATCTCCGTAATAGATATAATAATGAAAAAGCTTGAAATATCCCAAGAATTACCAAATTGTGACAAAAGAGACAAAAAATGAGCATGTGCTGTTGAAAAAAATGGCACCAATAGGCTTGTCAGACAAAGGACTGCCACAAAACTTTCAATTTTTAAAAACACACTATCTATGAACCACAAGATAGCAGAGCACTATAAAATGAGGTATGCCATACTTAGATTAAAAGACATAATTTTACACAATTCTATAAATGTAATCACATCGTGAGTAAGCAGGCAATAACAAATTTAAAATATTTTAAACAAAAAGTAGACTCAGGATCTCGCAGTGGTCGTATCTATAATTGTGAACAATATACATTAATGCAGAGTAGCACTAGGAGGGAAGACACAGTAATTGAATTTTAGTTTTGAATAATTCAGATACAACAAAGGTCAAAGTATTTAGATAAAAACGTATTTGACATACGCTTTGAAGTACTTTTTCTTCCTACAAAAAAAAAATTAACAATCAAATATGATTTTTAAAAATTACTAATTGAGCCAAATACGTACCATGGAGTACCAGGAATAGGAGTAGTAGCAACCGGCTTTGCCTTCTGGGCAGCCTTTTCTTCTTCAGTCATCTCTTCTTCTTTGGGCTCCTACAAGAAATGATATTACTCTTATTTAATTAATATCACAGAACTATACCTGAGTATTCCGCAAAAGCATGAATGTAAACAGCTCAAAGTACAATCAACATGCAAACTGCTGCTAGAATGAAGACGGGGGACTCTGAGTAGGAATTTCTAAGAAACTTCTAAATCCTTATCCCACAGAAAGATCTGAATTTCACAATAGCAGAATCCGGCAGCAGCAGCTGGTTCTACCTTATAGACTCACTAACCATGTGCTTAGGAGCAGATATGGAGAAATACAGAGCAGACCTCTTCATTTAAGGTTGTTTCTCATTTCTGCTAGCTTTCCTAGTACTGAAACATGACTACCATTGGTCCTTCACTGAATAAAAAACTCTCAGTGCTATACATGGATCATGCTATGCAAGAACACAAAAGCGGAAAGGACAGATAAAATATATCTAACATTCCCCAAATATGAAGTTACACTCATAATTTTAACATATACCAGTCAGTTCATAAGTCAGAAGGTTGGAGATCAAGTCCAAGCTCTGGTCCAAGGCCCTTCTTTCTACGGGTCTCAGTTTAGTATAAGAAGTAATTTAATGACACTTTCAAAGAAAAAAACTGAAGTAAGAACTTCCAAGAATCCTAAAATTTCAGAGATCAGATTTTTTAAGTCTACCAAATAGATACTCAGATACAAGTAAGCTGTAGGAAACAATTAATGTGGCTCCCAGGTTAACGGGTCATGGCCCTTTACCTCCTTTATCTCCTTTATAGGCTCTTCCTTAGGATCCTCCTCCTCCGTCTCCATTGGCAGAGGCTCTTCAGAGGGTTCTTTAATTGGCTCTTTAATCTTCTCTTCTAACTTTTCTATTAAAAAATTAAGATAATGTCAAAGGTTTTGATGTAATTTTCTAAGAACTTCCAAAGAATAAGCAATTAAGATATTCCATTTCCAAGTATTAACCATAAATATAAAATGTCCTTCCTTATAATATCATTGACTTGAATCTTATGTAATGCTCAACTTCAAATACCTTGCTATACCAATCAGGTAAGTATATGATTTGAAGAAGACGTACTGACTTCAAAGGGACATTAAATCTTTCAGGTCATACAATATATCACTTCTAGCAATCATTCATTTTGCTAAAAGGGGTAAGATACTAAGGATACTTAGGAATAGAAAAAGGGGTTTGGTGAGCAGGGCATGGTGACATATACCTGTAATTCTCAACTAACAGAGAAGCTGAGACAGAAGGACCATGTAAGCCCAGGAGTTCAAGATAAGCCTGGGCAAGACAGTGAGACTCTGTCTTGAACTTTAAAAAGAATAATAGTAAGAGCCTGTAATACAGAAAACTATGAATTGTCTACAACAAGAACTCTAAAGGCCTAAATTTTTTCTCAGAACACATACAAAAAATACATTCCTTCCTGATCTGTACTATCAATTTCAACAATGATTACAATTATGCAACATAATAATTAGAAAATTCCTAACAGTAAAAATATGTACATACATATAACAATTTCTCCAGATGGAAAAAATGATGACAAACATGTAAGGAGAAAAACTAGTTTTTAAAATAAATATTTATCAACTCAGCAAAAATAAATAATCCAACGACTGCATACTTAGAAAATCCCTCAAGTATGTTAAAAAGAAATTAACTCAGAATTTCAAACACCATTCTACTTATAGTTTATACTATGTCCCAAGTCATTAAAACCACTATTTACCTTTTTCCTTTAGTTCTTGAGGTTTTTCCCAGGTTGATTCTAATGTTCTATTATTATAATAGTATGTTTTGCCATCTGCTGTTTTATATTCAGTCCATTCAGAAACTGCTGTTGCTCCAGCTAAGGTAGCAGGTGAAGCTGCAATAGCAACCTGGGGATGTATCATGGGTACAATAGGAGGGGCCATTCCTGGCAATACACCTAAAAAAAGAATAATAAAAAATCAGATCCAAGTATCAAACTGCAATACAAAAAAAAAACTTTAAAATATAGCTAAATCTATTAAATATTAATAAATGAATAGACCAGTTGGAACAAAACAAAAATTACATAAATACTACTTAATTCTATCTCCCTAGATTTTTAGTTCTAATGCCTATAACTCAATTAGACACAGAAATTCAATCCTTAAAAACAGTCAGAAATTTGGGTCTCACCTATGACAAAGTCTTAACATAATAAATATTTTAAAACATGGTATATTCTCTACTTATGAATAGAAATGTATTTTTATACAGATAATTTCTCAAAGTCTAATGAAGACAGCAAATGTTATTCACTACACATATTTCCTGAGGAAAATTTTTTTTTTATTTTAAGATAACTAAAAGGGTATGAATATAATTCTCAGTTTTAAAGCAAATGACTGAGTTTATCAACTCTAAATGACTAACTCAAATACCCTTATACTCTTTGTTTACTCTTTTCTTAAGAGAAAGGAAAGCTCTTCTACTTTTTAGAAGACAAGCCAAGATTTATTATTTTTTGCAAAACAGCTAAATAAGCTGGTAATATATAAGCAAAATACTATTAAAATAAGGATACGTGAATCAAAACTGGAAAAAAAAAATCCTCAAATCCTATACTTAAGTTTAAGTTTCAGGTAGTTATCTTACTTCAATAACTTTAAAATGTGAATGTATACTATACACATGTATTCACACACATCTCACTAGCATGCAAGCATAATCACATCACTTTACACATGGAAATGATTTTTTTATATTTAACTTAAAAACATACATCAAAAATAAAATTAAACGTTATGAATATGAGAATGAAGTTGTTTACACTTATTACATAAATTAAGATATAAAGTGATCTGACCTTATTTGTTTTTGTGAACCAAAGAAGCTATTACTACAGGCAATTGGGAAAATTAAGTGTTGGCCAAATATGACAACTGCATTTATACTGCTCATTAAAAAGAAAAATATAAAAAAATCCACTCACTTGGGCAAAAAAATAAATAAAAGGATAAACAACAACATTCACTACCATGCCAACTTACAGACAAAACAAACTAAGATGGTTTTAAAAATTACCGGTCTTGGTGGTAGCGACTGTCTTTACATACGGGCAGCTGACTATTTGCATCATTGCTACACCTGTAAAATGGATAAGCAAGCATACGTTGGAAAGCTGCCATTGTATGTCGGCTACCACTGGGATTCAGGGAAATAATTTACCACTACAATTTAGAATGCTATTTCCAATGAAAAAGAACAAGAATGGAGTAAAATTTCTTTTTGTTTGACATTTTGTGGGGAGGGCTGCCAAATCCATTGACACTAATTCTAAATGATAGCATCAATTACCTTTATATCAAACCAGCTCTGAAGGTACTGAAGGAGTCTCAAGAGTCTAAATTCAACAAAAGAAAGCCCCTTCATTACACATACATAAATTCTCATGTGGGACATTTTCCCACAGGGTATCAAACCCATGCTGCTGTTGCTTAGATACCAGTAAAAGGCAGATGCAGCATGACACTGACAAGACACTTTCTCTGTGCTGCTGCTGAGTTGAAACTACATGCAGGAGCTGAGGCATGGAGTACAACCATGCAGAAGCAGAAAAGGAATAAGCTATACAATATAGGACAAAGAGGGGTGATGAGGAGAGTAAAGTAAGGTATGAGATGGATCCAAATATTCCACTGCAAATAATACTTTAAATAAAAGAAAGGCAAAGATGAAGAGAAAGGTAGCATTTCACTAACAACAAAATATCCATGTTTAGTGCCTGCACTATAGAACCCCATGGGCTTGGAACACTGTGGAAGCAGGCTAAAACAAACATTAAGAAACACACAGTCCCTTTAATATCACTAACTATATGGGCTGATAGCTGCAGTAACTATCATTTAAGCTGACTAAAGAAGCAGTACTTGCATTAAAGAATGAAAATTATGTACAGTTCTTGGAAGAATGAAGAGTCATCATGACGCATTACAATGGTGATTTTTTTAAAAGGGAATGAAGAGAAAAGCTGGAAAACTAAGACTGATTAACTGAGAAAATTAAAAGTGAATTCAAAAAAACTTTTAAAGGAAAAGGCCAAAGTCTGAAGAAAAGTATAGGGACAATAATTTTTACTTTTTTTCAGCTGAAAAAAACTAAGCTTAGTTTGGTACCCATAAAAATTTTAAAAGTCAACTATTTTCCCCACTAAAGGACAGGAAAGAAATGTCTCCTACCTCTGAGACTAAAAGTAAAATTAAACTCCTGGGTTTGTATACAATTTAACTATGTTAACACACACACACAAAAATAGTGTCAATTATTGACAAATACCTTTATTTCTTAATTACTGTTATATAATGAACAAATTTTCTATTAACTTTTAAACTAAAATAAAAACATTGGATCTGAAAGCATGCTGAATAAAGCTGTATGTATCATTTTATTTTCCCTAATGTTGAAAGAAAGCAATGGAAAAATTCATTTGGTTATAGCATGTATTAAGTTTAATTAGTATAAATGCTGCCATCTGCAGGAGCACTGAACCTGTTGAACTCAGCACAGGAAATTCAATTCTTATGAATATATGAACTTTTAAAGACTGTTCTGCAAAACCATCTTCCAATAAATAATTTTAACTATACAACTTACACAGAATAAAATCAAAATCTATTCATAAGCAGGCTTAAACACCATTATTAAAAACCAATTGAGCTAACACAACTCTTCTATTTGACTATCAACATACAGACCATATAGAAAGTTGATGTTTCTTCTCATGCTAAAAAGATACACTGGGCCAGGAGCAGTGGCTCACGTCTGTAATCCCAGCACTATGGGAGGCTGAGGCAGGTGGATCACAAGGTCAGCAGATCGAGACCACCCTGGTCAACATGGAGAAACCCCACCTCTACTAAAAATTACAAAACTTAGCTAGGCATGATGGTTTGCGCCTGTAGTCCCAGCTACTCAGGAGACTGAGGCGGGAAAATCAATTGAACTCAGGAGGGGTAGGTTGCAGTGAGCCACAATCACACCACTGTACTCCAGCCTGGCAACAGAGCGAGACTCTGTCTCAAAAAAAAAAAAAAAAAAAAAAAAAAAGTAGAACTCCTATAATCCTAGACTCATCTATCTCCAAACTCTACCTCCTACTCTTGTATTTTACCTAATTCTTCCACTCCTTCCCTTCATCTTGTTTGACTATCCCTTCCTTAATCATCCTCATTAGAGCCAGACAATTCTATTTAAAATAGAAATTAAGCCTCCAAGATAAAGTACACACAACTCCCTCCTGTTCACCTTATTTCTGAGTTGAATTAAAAGAGAAAAACAGAAAGACACAGATCTCATTGTTCCTATTACCAAAGATTTGAGAGGAGAAAAACTAGTCTTCTTTGTCCTTGTTTTTTGTTAAACATCTTGTAGGACTCAATTAAAAAGCAAAATGAGAAAAGTGAATAAATATTAATATCAAAAAGTCTTAACAAACTAATATTTGATACTAATATATCACTTTCTATGGCACTCACACTCTCCAAAGAAATCTTAGACTATCCAATTCAAGTTCTCTTCCAACTGACCCCCAAAATGTCACTAACGGCTGCTTCTTATTGAATGCGCTCTACTGCCAAACTTCACAGGCATTGCTTCATTTGGTGACTCAAATGGTCACCACCACCTGTTCGAGTTTTTTTAATGATGAAGCAAGGATCAGGGGAAAATATGACATCAAAATGAAGCTACAGCCAGAGGGATTTTATTGTGACAAACTTCCACTTTCTATGGAAATAAATTTTGCTATTGTGTGCCTTTCATCTATTAGTCCTAATAGGAATCTCTAAAGAAAAGCAAAAGTTGTTCAAATGACAGCCTTTCAAAATACTTCAACAACATTATCATGCTACCTCTCAATCTTCTCTCTACAAAATTAACAACCCCAACTCCTTCAGATCACTCAGACTCCACGATCTGGTCTTAATACTGTCTTAATCCTAAAGGAGACCAAAATTACAAGAGGTTGTGACAAATACCAAGTTATTCTCCACCTATCACTTAGTTTTCTCGGAAAAATTGCATACAGAGAAAAGTATCCAGCTGCTTGTCTTAAATTTAATCTAGAAAACAGATAATCCTGAATAGCAGAGAAAACGTTTTTTTCCTCATTTTTAAATGATTTGAATTTCTTAAACATCACATATTGGGCATTTAATTAGCTAACACTACCTCAACAATGTATAATAGGTTTTCCAAATCAAAAAAATACCAGAAATTTTTTATTTCTTTCTTGACAAGTTATATCTAAGTGTGTCCTTTTCAGAGTGGTCACAAAGAAAAAGACAACTCGTGTAATGGAGATAACTAAGATGTATGCTAATCTAAGAAACAGCTGCATCACAACTTTATTCTTACACAGAAACTATTATAAAAAAGTAGCAATAAGTGCGTGGAATGTGAACTTGAGAGACAAGAAGGCTAGGTTCTATTTATTTTTGCTACAAACTAACCCTGTGAACCTGACTTCTCTAACGTATCAATATTGTCAACTATAATACAAGGAGAATGAACCATGTATCAGGGATCAAATGTGCTTGACAAAAACTAATGCATTCAAATTTGGAATGCCCAGCACTATCACTGTTTAAACCCTAGGGCAAGAATTCCACTCCACAAACTTTTAATTCTTTCTCTAGTTTTAATGATTTCTCTTAAGATAACAAAACACATTAATTCACCAAAACAGTTTAAACTTTTAAATGATGCACATTATGCTTTACTTCATAATTGTTACAAAGAAATCTTCTAGTTCCTGTTTTACATGAAATGTTCTATAGTTAAGTCACTGACATTTTCTTTCCAGTATTAACATAGTTAAAAGAGCTTACTATTTGGATGTGGAGGGCACAGGCTCAAATGTCAACATCATCACTTATTAGCTATATGACGTTAGGCAAGTCATTTAACCTGTCTGTGTACCTATCTCATAAGATGGTTGTGAAAATTAAAGGAGTTAATGTATGTGAAGTATTTACAACAGTGCACTATATATAAATCATCCAACTTGTGTTAGCTATTATGATGTGATTTCTCAACTTCATAGATTCAATCCTTCAAAATTATTGCATTTAGAACATTATTTACATGAAAAGATGATCATTTTTAACTCACTGAGGCCATCATCCAAAATAAGTGTAGCTTTAAATTTGGCTCTAATTTTAGGACATGTAAACAACAACAAAAAAAGGACATTTACCAAAACTTAAGAGAAAATATTGCACTTAGCCATGAATCTTTCAAAAACGTTTCAAACAGGCGAGATTCAAGGCAAATTCCAAACGCAACAGACACATGAGAACAAACTAACTGACAATATGAAAACATAGCTGGAAAGACCATTACAATCTGTTGGTTTACCTGGAAGTGGAATTGGCATGCCAGGAAGGGGAACACGAAACGGAGGTACCATTACTGGTGGAAAAGCAGGTATTGCTGTTGTTGGCTGAGGTACTGAGTGAGGAACAGCAGGAGGTAACGTCTGAGGGTGCGGCTGGGGAACAGTTTGCACAGGTGTGGCTGTAGGAGCAGGAGCTGAAACACTAACTGTAGGCGTGGCAACTGAAACAGCAGAACTTGGGGTCTGATCTTGTGTTGTGGGTGCTGATAAAAGATAAAACAAAAACATGTATCACTCCTTCATAAATCAGTTTACAATATTCATTCATCATTCATGCATTCAGTAATTCAAGTATTTAAGGGACCATTCTACGCACTGCAAGAAATTTGTCAAAAGGTCTCATCTTCAACAAGTTTGAAAATAGTTAAATGAAACATAAAAAATAAATACGAAGTAAAATGGGATAAACATATGTTTCAGGGGTATAAATCAAGATCCAAAGAACATTTGTAACCGTGAGATGGTATAGAAAATTATACATTGGGATGCTGAGCCTTGAAAGATTAAGATTTCAACAAGGAAAATAGCAGAAGGGGGATAGAAGAAAAAACTAAGCTAGTGAAGCTAGTGAGAAAAGTATGAATAAGGACAAGGAGTAAAGAACAAAATGGAACTGTTTAGAAAATTGAAGACAAGCAGTTAACGAGTGAAACACTAGGCCTACCAACAAAACCAGGGGGTTGTGTGGCTGGAAAGGTAGGCCAGAAGCAAAAATTGGAAAGCCTTGAACAAAAGGCTAAGGAATATGCATGTAACTGGGTAGGAAAAGGGCAGACCTTATGTAAATATAGAGAAAATGATCTAGAATACAAGCATAAATACATTAATACTAGTTAACCTCTGTGTATGCCTACTTCACATTTTACTACTAATATACATGTTTCGTTAGAGTTCGAATTTTTTATAAGAATGCATTCACATTTGTGTGACTTCATGAAGGTAAAAGGGGTATACGGCAAACTCAAGGTTACTGCATAGAAGAGTAATAAGCAGTGTTCATTTGAGGAATTCACCTCATAGATGCATAGGAAGAAAAGGAAGAACAGAGAGAAAAAGATAAGCAATTAACTAATGGCTTACGGGATATGAATGAATGGAATCAAAAACAACTCAGGTTTCTCTCATTATTTTTCAAAAATGAAATTTTTTTAAACTGAGGTTTCCCTTGTGAGAGACCAGGAAAATGTGAAATTCAGGATCATTTGGGTTCTGCTAACACATTATTTTTAAATATCAAAAATAAAACATTCCATCCCCCAAAAAAATCCTTATTTCATACTTTTAAAAAAATTCAGTTCTCACATATTACAAAACAATTTTGTTATTTATTCATAACCCACCTAGTACCTAAATAAAATGCATTTTGGTATTTCATTAGTAACAAATACTTCATCTTGTTTTGATGTAAAGAAAAAAATGTCTACCTGTATTGGACTAAGAATGAATTTGTCAAATGAAATAAAATGAAAACAGTGCTTTCCCAATCTTTATGCCAATTTTATTCTAAACAAAAGCACACTGTTTAATAAAAACCACCCAATAATCCAACTGACAACAAAATCTCTCAGTATCTTTTTCTAACTTCTAATAATAAAAAAACTCACTTAGGCTGGGAAGATGTGAGCAATTTCATACTTGTTAATGACGGACTCACCTTGGCTAAATAGACAGCAGGGCCAAACAAGTATCTTCAGGGGCCCAGGAATGAATTGTTGGTCTAGCATAGACCTAGCCTTAGGGTACAGTATCATATTAATATAATTTTATAACAGTGTGAAAAATACAAAGTACATGCAACATTTGCCCAGTCCCATACATATACCATTTAGCATTTGTAATCTACTATAATGGCTGAAAATATATCTAGTTATTGTTCCCAACTTCCCTGAGAAGTAGGATTTCTTCATTTTTCACAAACTTGCACAATATGAGTTTATGCTCAACTGGGATTAAAAGAAATTCTTAATTTTTAGTCCCATTTACACCATAGATCTAATTTTAGTTCAGAAAACTAAAATTTTAAAATTATAATAATATTCAGATAATTGCTAAAATTATGACCCAAAGTACTACAGTCAAGAAAATAAATAAGGGCACCAGATTTCAAGTGGAAAAGAACACCAATGGAGATGACAAAAAATATTTACTCAATTCATTCCTCTTACTTTCCAGCACAGCTTTTTTTGAATTTGGTTAGTAGCCATGAGTCATGAGAGGAAAAGGACAAAAGCAATAAAGTAATTAAAGGGGAAACTGCAAGAATGGTATCTAAAACTTTAATGGGTAAACTCCTACGAACTTCATTTGCTAAAGTAACTAGTGAAGCACTAGGCCTCAAACTACACTAACCCGGGCTCAGATCTTCACCAAAAAAGACAAGGGACTATATATAATAGACGGAGAAATATTAAGACTGTAGTATGATGACACTTAATGATACTGAAGTAATATAAAAACAGACACTGGAATACGTAGACGACATCAAAATTGATGTTTAAAAGCAGTAAAAAGGGTATGATTTTGCTATTTTATAGTTCTGGGAATAAAGGCCTTCCAAATACTGAAGAATAGAGCAAAACTGACAAACAGGACATAAGACAGCTATGAGCTTACTGACACACCACTCTGAAAACAGAAATGGACTATATATAGGATGGTTAAATTATCTAGCTAATTACATTTCTTAAAACAAAATGAACCACTACTATTTCTCCTTTCTAAGAATGTGCAGGAAAGAAAACCCAATTAAGCAACACAGAGCCTCCACAAGCTACATTGTTTTTATAAATACCCTTTTCCCATTACTGCCACAGGTCCACCCATAAAAACTGGTAGTCTCCTGCCTTGCCATAGATGTTTGGGAAGCACTAAGCCTATAAAAAGGTAAAGACCCTTAACAAGCTAGCTAGTACAACTGCCAAATTTTTTTATCAAAATTCACCTTAGCTACAAAAGAAAACAAACTTGTAAAACACTATTTACGTTTTCCTGTTCAGTACATTTCTCACTCCAAAATATCTAAAAACCATTAAAAGGAAGACTATCCCCATACATGTATCTTACTCTACTTCTTTAGTTGTTTTTTAATCAATAAAATAAATTCAAATTTGAAGCCCATGTGAATTAATTTCTCTATGATTTCTTACACACTAATAATTCCCAGGTCCCTGAAGTAACCACAAAAAAAAAAACAAAACAAAACAAAAAAAACACCATTTTTTCTTTATTCTCATCTATTATCCCGTAGTAAAGCAACATAAATTATAATCATACTGTTAGGATAGCTATATCTTCAGACCAGTGCCATAACAAATAATCAAATCAAAAAAATCATTATTTAAGTACTTTCGGGCTTAGTCTCAACGTGCAGAGTAAAAGGAGCAACATCCATATATTAACACAAAAAAAGAAAAGAAAAAAACAACAAAAAGAAGCAATACTGTCATATTAATGACAATATTTAAAGCAAATTAATAGTTGTGGTCCTCTCTTCATCCCTGAAATCTATTAATCAACTTTTCTTTTCAGAAAAGTTCTCCTCTTTGGGCCTCTATGAGTTTATAGCTGGAAATTCTCCTGCCTTTCTGACTACTCCCTTCTATGGTAGCTCAACAATTCACCTACCCACATCTCATTGTAGAAACTACCCCAGCTCTAAAACAGATTACTGAGTTCCTAATAAACCCCCCTGATTTCATCACCACCCAAAAAACCAACACCAAAAAAAAAAAAACCTTCCAAAATGCTGCATTTATACAGGCCCCCAGTGGGTCTCACCTAGTTCCCTAGTTCTTAAGACCCTTCAAAATAAAACCCCCTTACCACAGAAGTTTCGTAAAAACCCCATAAACTAAATTTATCATTTTTCCTGACATTTAGTCATGTTGCTTCTCCTGTCCGAAAATCCTTTCCTTACCTGTGAACCTACTTAAACTCTACTCTGTTTCCTTCATGATAAATACCCATGTACTCCACCCACTCATTTCTCCGCCTCTCAAATTCTTACACCTTTTTCACTGTACAGTTTTGCACACCATTTTCTGATTGTTTCACATGTGTTATTCTTGCCTCCTCGATTAGGAACACTGGAAACTCTGTAAGGTAGGGACCAAGATTTACACTTATTTTGCAAACCCACAATGCCTGGCATTACTGTTGGCCAAGCAGAATAGCAAACTGCACTTTCTCAATTTAGCTTCATGAACTACAACTGGGCAAATAATTTCTCCTATTAATATAAATTCCTGTTTTTCTCTAACCCAAAAGTTTTCTTGTCAAAAATGTATTTTAAGTAATTCTGGTATTAAATGATAACAGCAGAAACACTGGCATCAATATGAAATGCGGCCCCCTACTTGTTCATGTCTCCAGTCCCTATAAAAAACACATGCAGAGTGGTACTCACTTGATACTGTCTGCGCAACTGAAGTAACAGTTGTTGTGGTAGAAGTGGTAGAGGAAGGGGTGGATGATGACGTTGAAGTGGATATTGCAGGTGCTGGGCTACTGGTCGTAGGGGTGGAAGCTCCAACTGCTTGTGCTTGCACTTGCGCCTGGACCTGGGCCTGGGCCTGGGCCTGGGCCTGTGCTTGTGCCTGAGCCTGAGCCTGAGCCTGGGCCTGGGCCTGGGCCTGGGCCTGGGCCTGGGCTTGAGCTTGGGCCTGGGCCTGAGCCTGGGCTTGGGCTTGGGCCTGGGCCTGAGCCTGAGCCTGAGCCTGGGCCTGAGCCTGGGCCTGGGCCTGAGCCTGAGCCTGGGCCTGAGCCTGGGCCTGGGCTTGAGCCTGAACCTGTGCCTGGGCTGCAAGCATAGGTGTCAGTTCTGATTGCTGAATAACCTTAACTCCATCTGGCTTGGTCCATGCAGATTCACGTGTCCGAGCATTATAATAATAAACCTGCAGAGGAAGCAAAAATCAATGGTATCATAAAATCTGCCAATTATTTTTAAAAGCAATAATGAAACCGTATTTTCTCTTTAAAGCTACCAAAAATAACTTAGGGCCAGGAGTAGCGGCTCATGCCTGTAATCCTAGCACTTTGGGAAGAAGAGGCAGGTGGATCACTTGAGGTCACGAGTTTGAGACTAGTCTGGCCAACATGGTGAAACCCCATCTCTACTAAAAATACAAAAAAATTAGCTGGGCGTAGTGGCAGGTACCTGTAATCCCAGCTATTTGGGAGGCTGAGGCAAAAGAATCGCTTGAACCCTGGCAGCGGAGGTTGCAGTGAGCAGAGATCACGCCACTGCACTCCCGTTTGGACGACAGAGGGAGACTCCATCTCAAAAATAAAAAATAGTCAGGTGTGGTCACTCACACGTGTAATCTCAGCACTTTGGGAAGGTGAAGCAAGCAAATCGCCTGAGGTCAAGAGTTCGACACCAACCTGGCCAACATGGTGAAACCCTGTCTCTACTAAAAAATACAAAAATTAGCAGGGTGTGATGGCGGGCACCTGTAATCCCAGCTACATGGGAAGCTGAGGCAGAAGATTATCGTTTAAACTCAAGAGGCAGAGGTTGCAGTGAGCTGAGATTATACCACTGCACTCCAGCCTGGGCGACAGCATGAGACTCTGTCTCAAAAAAAAAAAAAAAAATTCAATTTAATTTAAAAAATTAAAATAACTTACGGCTGGGCATGGTGGCTCATGCCTGTAATCCCAGCACTCTGGAAGGCTGAGGTGGGTGAAACCCCATCTCTACTAAAAATACAAAAATTAGCCAGGCATAATGGCAGGTACCTGTATTCCCAACTACTTGGGAGGCTGAGACAGGAGAATCACTTGAACCCAGGCGGCGGATTGCGCTACTGCACACTAGCCTGGGCAACAAAGTGAAACTTCGTCTAAAAAAAAACACACACACATACACACAACAAAAAATAAGTAATTCCACCCCACAGACCAATTTTCTATAATGAGCACACTGTATTTTTAACACATACAAAAGAAAACCAATGTTATATTTTATGCAGAAATTTAACATAACAGACCTGAGACAGGTATCTTTAGAAAGCCCTGCTGGCCCTTATCTGGAGTCTCAGAACTCGGATTTCCGGAGGTTGTTGCCATTCCCTTGTTGATAAGAATGGCTCAGTGTGCCTAAACCAGTTATGCAAACAATGCAGTTTATGCTGAACACCTGCTTTCCTTCTAGGAGCCTGGAATTTGGTATGTGCTAGGCCAGGCGTCCCCAAACTTTTACACAGGAGGCCAGTTCACTGTCCCTCAGACCGTTGGAGGGCCGCCACATACTGTGCTCCTCTCACTGACCACCAATGAAAGAGGTGCCCCTTCCTGAAGTGTGGCGGGGGGCCAGATAAATGGCCTCAGGGGGACGCATGCAGCCCGTGGGCCGTAGTTTGGGGACGCTTGTGCTAGGCAGATGGTACCAATGTGACTAGAAGCTTCCAGAATCATAGATAAATGTGTGTTAGCAGTCCAGGCACCCCTGTATCTGCTCCACAAAAGTTTAATCAGTCAGCTTCTCCTGGAGTCTTACCCCATTCCCTGCTTACCCAAGGTTCATTCTTCATTGAAAATAATAACACTGATCTCAACCTGCCAGAACTCTTTAACTTTTACTCTTGTCAACAAGATGACAACTTAAATATATTTTATAATTTACCTTCCCATCTGGAGTTTTATTTTCAACCCATATCTCCTCCGCAGGAGGTAGTGCTGGAGTACCAGGAGCAGTCACAGGAGGCATTCCTGGTGGAAACATCATACCCGGAGGAGGAGGCATGGAACTCATGGGTGGAGGCATGAAAGGTGGTCTCTGTTAATTCACAAGAACAGTAATGGTCGCTTTAATTACTCTTCCTCCAAAGCATTACTGAATTCTACTCAAAAGTAAAACACTGTAAGAGAAACTAGTTTTATAGTCTGTTCAAATACATTCACCCGTCGTAGAAGAAAAATACCTGCAACAAAAATTACTAAATAAACTAGAAAGAAAAACATCAAACTCCTAACAGTGGTCAACTCTGGGTTACAACACTGTCAGTGAATTTTGCTTTCTCCTTTCTACATGATCTGCTTTTCACACACAGGATGCTGGATGACTTTTTTTTTAATTGATTTTTATATCCTGTTTTAATACCAGGCACATCAATGTCTCCACAGCTTCTTGAAGAATCCTTCAAGGAAAAGTTTTCACTGTGCATAAAAATGAGTTTCAAAATTAAAAATTTGACATTATGACATTATAAAAACATTGAGCAGGGATTTAAAAGATTTCCTCTATAATCTATATGTAACATTAAAATTCAATTATCTGAAGCACCTTAATCCGGATAATGGTACTGAAACTATGCTATTAATGTGAAGCTGTACTTTATTTTCCTAAAAATTTCTTTCCCATTCTCTAATATGTGTTGGATTCAGCTGAGTATCTTTCAAGCGTCAGCACACTAGATCCATGTTATATAAAATATCTATTCTAAATATGTTTCACGAGCCCTCAGCTGGAAATCACTTGGGTTTAATATAAAGCCACACAATTATCCTAGACGAAGAAAAGCATGACAACATAAGGGAGTATTTCAGCACAACATTTGACATATTTCAATGAGAGGGTTACATTAGTCCATTACATTTTATAATATTCCACAAGTATGTTTAACTCTTAAAGGCACAAATGAGAACAAATTCACATGCTACAGGTTATACCAGAATGAGTAAGTCAAAAAGCTATTTCTTATTCTAACCTTGAATCAAGTATAAAACCATTTAACAGTGTGTTTAAAGGAGAGGCTATCTGTTATTAGGAAGGCCATAAAATTATTGAGCAAAGTATTAAAACCCATCTGTTCCATAACCACAACCCTATCTAAACTGAGTTAACATCACTTAAACAGCACAGCATTGCCTTTTTCTATTTTTAGTATAATTCTTTCTTCATTGTCTAAACGAATGGAAGACAGACGATACCACTGTATTTATTTGGTTTCAGAATTATATAGGCTAAACTAAGAAAACATAGATACATACTCAAATAAAAAGAATACAATCCCAAAATGAGATATCTGATAGTTGATACTTTCATGACCTCACTTCAGACAAAAAGCCTAGATATACCGGAGAGGGATATATGCTCCAGATTAAAATACCACAAATATTTTTATTTAAAGAAATCCCATTATAAATATTTCTCAAAAATCATAAGATAATCCTATTTCCGCTCCCCCGGCCCCGCTAAGAGGAGAAAAAAAAAATCAACTACGTGCTTACAAAATGTGTTTGCTGTCACTTTCCAGATTCTATCCTAGGCATCATTTCTGGGGAGAAGAACTACTCAGGAATATATATACATATATTTTTAGACTTGCTGGCAACATACACATTGAAAATACATTTTCTCCACTCAAAAATATCTTAAGATTTCAAACTTCATTTCCCATAAAGAAGATGCATCACCAAAGCCAATTCAGAGAGGGAGGTAAAAAACCACTGAATCCGGGTTTTATACAGACTTCTCTATCGCTGTCTAAAGTCCCATTCTGAATTTCCAAAGTAATTACTGCTACCACTGCCTTAGAAGCAACATATCAATATATGGATCTTCTCTTTAGTTCCCTGCTTACCCAAAGCTCATTCTTCATTGAAAATAATAACACTGAAAATAATAACACTTCTCTTTAGTTCCCCATTTTACTATAAACTGAAACTATATAAGAATATAAGCTTTTAAGTCAAAACCCATATATAATATTGATAATGATGCCAACAAAGAAATGACAACCTCTACATTCTTTACCTGGAGGTGTGGAGGGCCCATAGGTGGAGGTATCCCTCCTGGAGGAGGCATTGGCGGCATATTAGGATCAAAAGGAGGACGTCCAAAGGGGGGCCGTGGTGGTGGAGGAGGGCCTCGCATCATACCAAAAGGTGGAGGAGGCCGCATCAGAGGTGGAGGGCCTCGCATCACTGCATTTGGTGGGGGAGCCGGACCTCGGAACCTCAAGGCCTGCTGTTGGGCCATCCTGCATGGGAAAGCAATAAATAAATTTTTCTTTCCTAAAATTACAAATGTGTTGCTACTAATTTCTAATTACATCAAATTTAAAAGGTTCTTAAGTCTAAGTGGAATTTGGAAAGTCATCATTTTGCAACCATCACGATAAAAACTGCATCAATGGGCCGGGTGTGGTGGCTCATGCCAGTAATCCCAGCACTTTGGGAAGCCGAGGTGGGTGATCACCTGAAGTCAGGAGTTTGAGACTAGCCTGGCCAACATGGTGAAACCCCATCTCTACTAAAAATACTAAAATTAGCCAGGCATAGAGGCACACGCCTTAATTCCAGCTACTTGGGAGGCTGAGGCAGGAAAACCACCGGAACCCGGGAGGCAGAGGTTGCAGTGAGCCAAAATTGTGCCACTGCACCCCAGCCTGGGCGACAGAGCAAGACTCCAACTAAAAAAAAAAAAAAAAAAAAAAAAAAAAAAAAAAATACACCAATGGATGACCTAGTTTGGATGAATGATCAATGGATGCTGAATCTCGGCACAAATTTAGGCAACAAGGTTATGTGGATGGGGTCTTAAAGTATCCACCTACATGATGTTTAAAGTTGCATGGGAGGATGAAAAAGAAACAAACGCTACGTAATATACGGAAACTGGGCAATACCTTGACCAGGTGATCATAACTAATTATCACCTATGAAGGACAGACAGATAATGTGTGACTGAGAGGGATACAACATCACCTACTCCAGTCAAGAATGTCTAACCTCAATCTAATAATGAGGAAAATATCAGACACACACAGAATAAGGAAGAAATGTTCTTTCTATTAAAGGGGGATGTGTATTCTTCAGAAATGTCAATGTTATCCGTAAAAGACAAAGAAATGCTGTGGAAATGCTCCAGATTAAAGAAGGTTAAAGAGACATAGTAGTTTTGGGTTCTTTTTAGATACAGATCTCGAATTCCTGATCTCAGGCAATCCGCACAACTTGACCACCCAAAGTGCTGGGATTACATGCATGAGCCACTGTGCTAGGCCTATAACAACACAATTTTAACTCTAGACTGGATTCTGTACTAACAAGAGGAAATCCCTTGCAAGACATTACTGGATCAACTAATGATGCTGGAATATGAACAACAGATTAAAGTATTATATCACTACAAATCTTTGAAGTTGATAATTGGGGTGTAGTTAAGCAAAATAATATCTCTATTCTTAGAAAATACACACTGAAGTACTGAGGGATAAAAAGCCATAGGTCTATGTATCTCACCCTCACAGTTCAGAATAACAAAGAGGATGTGAGTATGCACGCAAATGGTAAAGCAGAAGAGGTAAAATATTAACATAGCTTTATTTTTGCTACATTCTGTAAGTTTGAACTTACTTCCAAATACAAAGTTTTTAAAGAGGGAGGGGATACCTTAGGCAATCACTAGTAGTCTCCATCTAAAGGGAAAGCCTTTTCCTGTAGGGCACACTGCCCCACCAACCCTCATTCTCATCACCCTAATGTACTTTCTCCACAGCATTTAAGCAAATAAGTAATATAACACAGGATACTATTATCTATCTCTTTCTCTCTTTCCCCAAGTGTTTTTGTAAGAGAATTATTAACTCTTAAAAGTGCTTACTATGAGCCAGGCAGTGCTCTAAGCTCAAGTATTAACTCTCTTAATCATTCAAACAACTCTCATAGATGGATATTATTATTAGTCTCACTTTAGAGATAAAGAAGAAAGCAAAGAAGTCACTTGCACAAGGTCACACAACTGGTTCAGTATTAAAGCCAGGATTGAGGCTGCCCATGTTGGCTCAAGCCTATAATCCCAGCACTCTAGTGGTCAAGGCAGGCGGATGATTCGAAGTCAGAAGTTCGAGATCAACCTCGCCAACATGGTGGAAGCCCATCTCTAGAAAAATACAAAAAAAATTAGCCGGCCATGGTAGTACACACCTGTAATCTCAGGTACTTGGGAGGCTGAGGTAGGAGAATTGCTTGAGCCCAAGAGGTGGAGGTTGCATTAAGACAAGATCGCGTCACTGCACTCCAGTCTGGGCAACAGAGCAAGACTGTCTCAAAAATAAATAAATAAACAAAATAAATTCAAACACAGGCAAATGCTCCTTCAGAGTAGGAATTCTGTTCATTCTTGTATCCCTAGCACATAGATCTATACACAGTAGGGCTCAATATTAATATTACTATTTGTTGCATAAACCAATGAATACCTAGGTGATATTGTACCCAAACTACCAAGTAGGATATGTAGAATCTTAAAAAGATTATTTTTACAATTTCACTCATTTACTGAGTACCTATCATGGTACTCCCAGCAGCTACTGTAAATCTCCATTATACATCAAATCTGTATTTCTGTCCTAAGGAGAGGAATTAACAACTATATTCTTCATATATTTGAAGATAATCATTCTTATAGTCTCTCCTTACCAGGCCATTTCAACTTTCTGACATTATTCAACTCTCTACTTATAGATTACCCTTTGAACTTTCTCTAAATTTACATAGTTCAATTCTGACACACACCAAAAAAATTCCTAATAAAGAACCAATTTAGGCCAGGAGCAGTGGCTCACACATGAAATCTCAGCATTTTGGGAGGCAGAGGCAGGTGGATCACTTGAAGCCAGGAGTTCAAGACCAGCCTGGCCAACATGGCAAAACCCTGTCTCTATTAAAAATACAAAAATTAGCCAAGCATGGTGGTGCACGCCTGTAGCCCCAGCTACTTGAGAGGTTGAGGCATGAGAATCACTTGAACCCTGGGAGACAGAGGTTGCAGTGAGCCAAGATTGCACGACTGCACTCCAGCCTGGGCAACAGAGCAGACTCTTAAAAAAAAATTTTAAATTTAAAAAAAAAAGAATCTGGACTTGTTTACAGTCCTGGTGTAATCGTTGTTACAGATCTATGTACTAGGGATACAAGTGTAATCCTTGTTATGCCAGGATTGTAAACAAGTCCAGAACTACTAAACCAAGTATATTTAATTAAATTTGCAAATGATTCTACAATCCAAAGATTAGAAAATATGAGTTAAAAAGGAATATGGGCTGGCGCAGTGGTTCACGCCTGTAATCCTAGCACTTTGGGAGGCCAAGGTGGGTGGATCACCTGAGGTCAGGAGTTCAAGACCAGCCTGGTCAAATGGTGAAACCCCATCTCTACTAAATATACAAAAATTAGCCAGGCGTGGTGGTGCATGTCTGTAATCCCAGCTACTTGGGAAGCTGACCTGAGGCAGGAGAACAGAAGAAACCTGGGAGGTAGAGGCTGCAGAGAGCCGAGAGCGTGCCACTGCATTTCAGCCTGGGCAATAGAGCAAGAGGCTGTCTCAAAAAAAAAAAAAAAAAAAAAAAAAGAGGAATATGGATTGTATCAAAATAAGCAGAAGGTCTTTTTCGAATTATATGCAACCCCAAAAGACAGAGGCCACTGTTACCGAAGGAATGTCCAACCTTTTGGGGCAAAAAAAAGAGTTAACCACCAATGAAAGACACTCTTGTTTCAGGCTTGAGTTAATAATGTACCCTACTCTTAGATTTTCTTTCCACCTGCCTCTCCTTTTTTCAAAAAATCTACAGTATTTTTTGTACAATTTCACACTTCCTGGTTACAGCATAAAGTTAAGCATTTAACATCCAGAACCATAAAAAAGCCCTATTAGGCTTCTGCCTTTTGTTGTCAGGCTAGTTACATAATTTCTGAGTCTGAGTTTCCTCAGATGTGAAAGAGTAAGGAACAGAAATAAAAAGTTTCTGATAGCTCTGTTCAGTGAGATAATCCTGGTGAAACATTTAGGGTGGTACCCGGTACAGAGTTAACTACTTCAACTATCATTACTTTCATTCCCCCACAAAACCTAGAGTGTTTATCTGTAAAAGCCATTTCACTATTAATTGTGACGTTTTTCAAAAGTCAGATACTAAAATGGTGACAAAATTCACATAATTTCTTTCTTGAATAGCCTGTAAGTTGCCATTTTCTTAATTATGTGCAGAACATGGGCTGAGCTCTTTATATTATACTGATTCATCACAACCACCTCACCAGAACCTGTAGTGAAGATTAAATGAGCCAATAAAGTACATGGAATAGTGCTTAGCACGTAAGTGTTATCTAAGTTACTAGCTATTATTACTGTTTCTGTAACATTAGTATAGTAATAGTACTAGTAAGTGTTAAATAGTATTTTAGTAATAATGTTAGCTATTATTACTATAATTATTATCAGGTCCTGTATTACCTGGCCCATGTTAACCTTTCTACAAACTCTAATCTTTTCCTTTAAATACAAATACAAAGTTTATTACTTTGAAGCCTCTGCTCCTGTTCTCATTGCCTGGCATGTTCTTCCCCAGATTTTCACATAACTAGCTCCTTCTCATTATTCAGCCTCAAGATCACATGTCACTTCAAACTGCTCTCCCACTTCCAGCCTCTCCAGGCCCTCTCAGGCTCATTATCCCCAATTTGAGTTTTCAATTATGATAAATGCCAAGAAATCTCTCATTTACTTCTGTATTATCTTTAGCCACTAGTACATGGTTCCCTTTAGTATACTGCTGCAACACATTAAAACACATTATTGTTTTAATAATGACAGTAAAGTTCCTATACACCAGGATGGTTATAGAGACATTATCTGTATTAACTCTTTAATCCTCATTACAGCTCAATAAGGTAAGCCTGGCACCATTTTTACAGAGGAAATGGTACCACAGAAAAATAATTCTCTTAAGGCAGCTAGTCAGTGACACCACCAGAATATTCTTATTCTCATTTTATATAGGCAATTTAGATTGCAAAAGTATCTTAAGTATTAATAGGTAAACAAAGCCCTAGGTAAAGGATCTATACAAAAGACTCTTTTGTATAGTAACTCTGGAAGTTACTTTAATGGCATTTGGAAGGTCTATAAATTTTCCATCTATTGTGATTTGCATTCCTACTTCTTACAACCTTTCTGAAAAACAAAAGCCTAATTGCGTGAATAGAAAGAACAAAAATATTTCACAAGATCATCAAAATGCAAACAACGTATTTTTCTATAATATAAGTACTCTTTCCAGATATGCAATCTCTTTAATGGTAAAGACAATACTATAATTGGAGGGGCAAGAAATTTAAAAAATCCTACTGATACATGGGGGACAAATCATATAAACTGTGAGTGAGGAGACATGGGATTTAGCCTAGACCCTGCCAACTACCCAGTGACTTTGTATAAGTCACTTCACACTTACAGGCATATTTAATCATTTGACAGGGTTGATTTCGTTTACAATTTAGATGGCTCTTACTTAAGCTGGAAGCACCTTCAGGACAAACATCTTTTTCTGGTCTGGTTCTGGGCTCTACTGCCAGCACCTAGGTCAGTAACTGTCACACACAGCAGCACACAATAAACATCAGTCCAGTAAGTGAAGTATCTCTAAATCCCCTGTCTTCGTTTATTTGCAACATAACTACTGAACATCTCATTTGCCAGGCAGTTATGACAGACACACTATGAAGTACATTCAGGATACAAATATAAGACAAAGATTAAGCCCCAACTTCTGCCATCAAAGAGGCCCCATAAACACCTAATTTCATGAAAAATGCTAAAATAAAGATCTGTACAGTATGATCTGCAAGCAACTTCCAATCCAAGAGGCTATGGTATAAAATATTTGCTACAGGGCAAATTCATCTGCAAACTGAAGCCCTATTCAAATCAGTTTTGCGACAGTGTCTGGACTATTAATAAAGTATAAACAGCTTTATTAATATGGCTTTTTTTGTAAGGCTTTAGAAAGATACTGTTTAAAATGTGAAATAATGTTCCCTAATAAATTCATCTGAAATTAGCTAAGTAAACTCCCTTTAAGACCAAAATCAGGAATAAACTTGGCATCACTAATATTGAAAGATCCTGACAATTCAGCATGATCACTCATTAATACTGTATACATATGGAGTTTAAAGGATTTCAGATTAGTCTCTGAAATAAGACATTTCGTTCCTGCCAAAGTAGGGATTTGTATGTGCAACCAACAGAATCTGAAAGGCATTTTCTTCTTCTAAAACCCTGAATAACAGTACCCGTTTCCTTACACAATTTCACCTTAAGCTCTAGACAGTATGAACAGAGTCTTCATAATCTACACTGCTTTTCCATTTTCAAATGTTGACAATAGCACAATTCAGAATGGGAGCTGAACATATGAAATGCCATTTCTCCCATCCAGAAAAAAAAAGTACCAAATACACATAAAACATGACTCCTCTTTTCCACAAAAACCACTTAACAACAGAGTTCTCCAGGTCACTCTTATTTTACCAAATTTTAATTACAAATTCACAGGCATTGAGGTTCCAGGGGAAAAAAGGTCACTGCACTGTTCAGGGAAATCGCATGACTGGCAGACGAACAGAATGCCGATCGAGATGGCAGGCTCTGAAACCTGACTGCCTGAGTTCCAGCCACTTCCTGGAGCCACAAATGCCCCTATGCAATCTTATTCTACTGACTTAACCTCCACGAGGCTCAGTTATCTCACCTGTAAGATGGGCGAGTAACAACTGAAGACCCCTCTGGTCTGTGGCCTGCAAAATGGAAACAGCAAGTACTCCAAAGGGTGTTGGTGAGGATTACATGAGACAAACCTAAGTAAAGGGTTTACTGGCATACAGTAAGTGCCTAAAAAGCGGTTCCTACTGTCGTTGTTACTCACAAGCACAGAATAAGGAATAAAGGGATGAAAAAAGGAAGAAAAGCCACCTCAAGTTAAGAAAGACCAGCGACGACGGGGATGAAATGAAAGGGCCAAGGTGGGGAGCCCAAACAGCCGCGAAGGGCGTGGAGAAGGCTCAGCCACAACCGGCGCGACGTCCCGGGAAAGTAACTGCGGAGTGCAGGAAAGTCGATAAGGGAAACCAGGCCCGCAGCGGAACGCCGCCGGGGGACGGACTCAGGTCGGCCGAGACAGGCGACACGCGGCCGAGGCGGGGCCCAAAGGCGGGAGTACCGGGCCCGGCCGGCAGGCTGCAGGCCGCGAGGGGCAGCGGAGCCCCGAAAAAGCACTAGCGAGCAGCCGGAGAACGCCCGGGAGGCCGTGGCCCAGCCCCGGCCCGGCTCTCATTCAAGCCACCTTCCCCTTCCCCCTTCTTAAACCCCATGCGGTCCCGGCCCCGGTCCGCAGCGGTTCCGCTGCCCACCGTCCGCCCCGGATCTCCACACAGAAGGCCTAGCTTCTGGGGCCCTCGTGACCCGAGAGGTGAGGGTAGGCAGCGTCCCTTACCTGAGCTCCCCCGGGTTGAATCGCTCACCGTCGCCCCCGTCCCCACCACGCTCCGCCATTACAGAGAGCCGCGTTCATCCACCCGCCGACCCGGCGTCCTCTATTGGCTAGAAAAACCGTCAATCCCCAACGAGAGAGGCTGAGGTAACGGAGATCTGGGATATGATTGGCCAGTCTTCCCATCAATCTTCGAGATGGAGGCCGTATCTTTTTTGCTACTGGGCAAGGGGCCCGCCGACTTTGAAAGCGGTATGAAGACAGCTAGTTGATTGGTGGCTCGTGAGCTTTATGGGAAATGAGATTTTAGCAGTGAGGAACCGCCGGCGCCCTCTCGCGGTAAGCAGAGCTAGGTCCTCCCACGTTCATTTCAGCCTGCGGTAGCCACGTGTCTGTCGGCTGCCAGGACAGCCCATTGTGGAGCCATATTGGCCCGTTGTCGCTCAGAGAGCATTTGCACCGGACAAGCCAATCAAAACCGACCGGGGCCGCCCCTAAACCAATCGCACAGTTGCTGTGGAAAGCCGCTTATCCTAGCTATACAGAAGTCTTAAGTCACCACTGAGCTCTATATCCATGTTATCTAATAATATATTATTCATTACAAGACTATATCCCAAATTATACTAAATAGTTGCAAGCGAATAGGTGTTCTAAGTTGCTGCATTAAGAGTAAATTGAGTCCGGGGTGGTGGCTCACGCCTGTAATCCCAGCACTTTGGGAGGCTGAGGTGGGTGGATCACAAGGTTAGAAGTTCAAGACCAGCCTGGCCAAGATGGTGAACCTCCGCCTCTACTAAAAATTCAAAAATTAGCCGGGCATGGTGGCGGACGCCTGTAATCCCTGCTACTTGGGAGGCTGAGGCAGGGAATTGCTTGAACTCAGGAGGTGGAGGTTGCAGTGAGCCGAGAGAGATCGAGCCACTGCACTCCAGCCTGGGAGACAGATCGAGACTACGAAAAAAAAAGAGAGAGAGAAAGAAGGAAAGAAAGATAAGTTGGAGAAGGCAAGCCTCTTTCTTTGCGATTTACAGCTTTAGCATCTCGCCCTCAATCTCAAAATGTACTTGTCTGAAATTAGCACACCTGGAATACCAAACAATTCTGAATATTTATTTCGTTTTTCTAATTAATAAAAAAAAAAGTGTAGGCTTTGGAGTTTCAAAGGCACAATGAAGATAAGCCCTTCTCTTAAAGTCCTCAAAATTAAAATAATACTAATAGATAAATTTTACTTGGACCTAACTATGTAGCAAATGCTGCTATAAGTACTTCCCATATGTGAGCTCTTTCACGTTTCAAAAATCAGTAAGAGGTGGGTAACATAGTCACTGTTTATAAATGAGCTTAAGGCACAGAGAAGGTAAGTAACTTGCCCAAGATCACACTGCTACAAAATAGCAGAGGCTTGTCTTAACTGCACGCAGCAGCGTAGTAGCAAAGCACCACTCTTAAATACTATGAGCCTCAATAATTGGATACACATAAAATCGTGTGCACAAGTGTTCACAGCAGCACTGTTCATAATAGCCAAAAAGTATTGTAATAACCCAATGGCCATCAGCTGATGAATGGTTAAAAAATACGTGATAACTGTACAATGAAATATTATCCAGACATAAAAAGCCGGATACAAAAAGATCACCTGTTGTATGATTCCATTTACATGAAATGTGATGAAATTACATTGCATTTCAGGCAAATCCATACAGACAGAAAGTAGAACAGTGGTTTCCAGGAGGTAGAGGGGAGTGAGGAATTGGAAGTGACTGCTAAGGGATATGGAATTTCTTCTTGGATGATAAAAATGTTCTGGAATTAGTGCTGATGGTTGTGCAACTTTGTGAATATACTAAAACCCATTGAATTGTATACCATTTATTTATTTATTTATTTATTTACTTATTTTGAGAAGGAGTCTCACTCTGTTGTCCAGGCTGGAGTGCAGTGACGTGATATCAGCTTACTGCAACCTCTGCCTCCTAGGCTCATGCGAGCCTCACACTTTAGCCGCCCAAGTAGGTGGGACCACAGGCCTGCACCACCACATCCAGCTAATTTTTTTCTATTTTTGGTAGGGATGGGGTTTTGCCATGTTGGCCAGGCTGGTCTCGAACCTCTGAGCTCAAGTGATCTGCCCACGTTGGCCTCCCAAAGTGCTGGGATTACAGGTGTGAGCCACTGCACACAGCCAGACTGTATACTTTAAAAGGTGAATTGTATTGTATGTGAACTATATTCTAATTTAAAAACACCATTCTATACTGAACTCCAGTTAAATATTCAAAATCAATTAAATACGATAAATCTCGATAAAGGGTTCACACAGTTCTGAGCATGAGTAATTGGACGAGGAAAGCTTGGTGAGAATTTTGTTAAAGAGATGACATTTGAGGCTGGATGCGCTGCCTCAGGCCTGCGATCCCGATACTTTGGGAGGCCAAGTGGGGAGGACTGCCTGAGTTCAGGAGTTTGAAACCAGCCTGAGCAAAATGGTGACACCCCCGTCTCTACTAAAAATTAAAAATATTAACCAAGCGTTGTAGTGCATGACTGTGGTCCCAGCTACTCGGGAGGCAGAGGTAGGAGGACCGCTTGTACCTGGCAGGGTGAGGCTACTGTGAGCTGTTTGCACCACTGCACTCGAGCCTAGGAAACAGAGTGAGACACTGTCTTAAAAACAAACAAACAAAAAAAATGATACGACATTTGAACAAACTACAGTTTCATTAAAAGTAGGGGGTTAGATCCCTTTTTAAATGTCAGCATGTATCCCCAAGTTCTGGCCAACTATTCTTAAGATGATACTGGTATAGATGGCTCATTACAAACTAATTCCTATGGAAAAAATAAATTCAAAATGGATACTTCATAGAAAGTGAGTCACTAGCATATATAAAAGATGAAGAGGCCAGGCATGCTTGCTTACAATCCCAGCACTTTGGGAGGCCAAGGCAGGTGGATCAACTGAGGTCAGGATTTTGAGACCCTTCTGGCCAACATGATGAAACCCCGTCTCTACTAAAAGAAAATACAAAAATTAATTGGGTGTGGTGGCAAGCACCATGGTGGTCCCAGCTGCTTTAGAGGCTGAGGCAGGAGAATCGCTTGAACCCAAGAAGTGGAGGTTGCAGTGAGCCAAGATCATACCATTGCACTCCAGCCTGGGTCGCAGAGCGAGACTCCATCTAAGAAAAAAAAAGATGAAAACAAACTGTCAGTCTGAAGAAACTCCTTGCAGGTACTAAAAATTTGATTATCTGATAGTTTTTATTATGTTATTTATGTCTAAATATACTTTGAGATATTTATATTATTGTATAATCTTTCTTTGAAATAGATTAAGTGTATACATATGTAAATCTATCACATATATATGATAATCATATATGTGTGTGTATATACATATATACATATTTCATTATTTTATTGGTATAGTATATCCCCATAAATATGTCCTTGAAATTCAGGTACTTTGAGCTCAATAGTTGTATACAGCATATTGCAAATATCTGACCTAAACTATGTCTACACAGTTTTTCCAGAGTGAACCATTTTATTGAAACAAAATGAAAAAGGAATTGAAGAGATTCAGTGCACCTTTGTTTGTTTGTTTGTTTGTTTGTTTGTTTTGAGATGGAGTCTCACTCTGTTGAGTAGGCTGGAGTGCAGTGGCACCTTCTCAGCTCACCGCAACCTGCAACCTCCACCTCCTGGGTTCAAGCAATTCTTCTACCTCAGCCTTCTGGGTAGCTGGGGCTATAGGCGCAGGCCACCATGCCCAGATAATTTTTGTATTTTTGGTAGAGACGGGGTTTCACCATATTGGCCAGGCTGGTCTTGAACTCCTGACCTCATGGTCTGCCCTCCTCAGCTTCCCAGAGTGCTGGGATTACAGGCCTTAGCCACTGTGCCTGGCCTCAGTGCATCTTTTAAGAGGCCAAATGGACTTACCTGTCTTCAAAACTTCGTAACTTTTAGGATACTGATAATGTACATAACTATACAGAACAGAATAGCAAATACCATCCTTGCTCAATTGGTAACCATTGAATTATAGACCCCCCCAAAATTAGCATATCAAGATGAAATGAAGAGACAATGTTGGTTTCACACAAATTCATCAGGGTTTAGGTTCTGCTATGAAGACACTCACCAGAATGGACTCTTGAGAACTGGTTCCAATGCAGAATCAGGCTTTAAAAATATAGATATATCTGCCATTTTTGAGCACTTACCTTAAATCCATAGGAGTTACATTACATACACTATTTCCAGTCCCTTCAACAGCTCTGGAAGGCGGATGTATTGTCCCCAATTTATAAGTCAGAGAACTGAGGCTCAGAGAGATGATAGGACTGATGCAAGGTGACATTCAGGTAGCTGAAAAGAGGGGAAGCCAGAATTCAAATGTGTGTGTCTAACACCAAAGCCAGTTAGAGACCACTAAATCCTAAGTCTCACTCAAATCACAAAGATAGCATGGCTAATGTATCATTTCTTCCTCTTCCCTCTAGACCATAAATGCTTTACAAAGACTGTTTTCCTGGCTGAAGCCCCAGATCCTAATAACATACTTATTAACCCATAATCTGTGCAGCTATGTTATTCCTGACTGGAAGTATTGATCTTTGAAATATTTAAAGAGCCCTCAGAAATAGACAATCCCAGGCTGGATACATCTCCTAGCTCCCTCACAGGCAGTATGAATAGCAGGTGCTAACGAGTCAATGGGGTAAATTAGGTCCGGATTCTAGTTCTGGCTCTATCAGCTACTGGCTCTATAATCTTAAAAGTCACTTCTCACAGCTTCGACCTTTTTATTTGGAAAACAAAGAGGTGCCCTGAGGTTTATAAGTAAACTATTTACCATGGTAATATTTGTTTACAGAATTTCTTTAGGGCTGCTAGGTTCTGGTTATTTATGTCCCCCCTCTCTCCTCCCCCCTCAGCAATTCATATGTTGAATTTTTTTTTTTACGTAAATTTTAATGGTTTCTGACATTTCCTTGTGAGGCTTTTTTAATTTGTAGGGTTTCTGCTGAGAGATCTGCTATGAGTCTGATGGGCTTCCCTTTGTGGGTAACCTGACCTTTCTCTCT